CCTATTGGCTAAAATATGACCAATCAGACGAGAATGAGAAAATGTTGAAGCATATATTTTATTTAAAATAGAATCCATCTGATTCACCTGCGATTACAAACTTCTAAATATTTGAGAGGTCCACCATGCGCGAGCTTCCTGTCACGAGGTGGCAACTCACCAGCCCTCTGGGTCCTGTGTCTCCCGTCCTGCGCCCCTCCTGCCTCTGGCACCAGTGGTTTTCCACCAATCACAGGCATGCATAAGCCTGTTCTTGGTCTAGCTGCTCACTTCTTGTTCCTTCTTTGTGAGCCCACGTCTTCCTCTTTGTGTTTATTATGGCCGGGACGCTTGGCCTAGCGTCCCTGGTTAGGCCCCGAGGTTACCTTCCTCGACTCCTTTTCTCATCCTTTCCCTTTTCTACATGCCTCTGGCATCCACCTCTTTTCCCTCCTCTTGATACTTCCACGCCTCTGTACTACTCCGGAGTACATAGTACCACCCTATCGGTGCCAGTTGCTGTGCTACTACCGGTAGCTTCGCAAAGCTTACTCGAATTTAAACTTTGAACTCCACTGAGGCAGCATGACCGCATACCCATATCGAATATGCAATCATGTATAACGACTCGTAGATAATTGGGTCGCATCTTGTCTGGCAGGTGCGTCCTGGATGGCCACTGCACTGTGGGCACAAGTGCTATTTGCCCAAGTTGCATTGACCTTTCCGTGACCAACACCGTTCGGGCCAAGCCGGACAACCTACTTGAGATGGCTCTCATCCATCTCGTCGGTCCACAATATTGCTTCTTGTGCTTTCGTCCCATCGTTCATCGAACACCAACCCACGGGCATTTTTCGACTTGTCGCTACAGTCCGAAACAAAATTATAGACGCACCCCAAAATACTCAAGTTTACAATGAAAACAATGCTTTGGTCAGCAACGATCAATCACAAGGACATTCAAACAGTGCTTTCAGTATTTGGCAGCAAAGTCGACACGGTGCTTCTTGTGCTCGGTGATAAGTCGTGGGCCCGACCGGTTTGATGTATATTGCAAATTTTGACATACGAAGCACACGAATAAATGTCATTTGGGTTACTTTACCGTCTAGTGCTACAGTAATCTGCCTATACGGCATTCCTTTTCGTGTGGCAAGCCTGAAAATCCAGCTCGTTTGGTCGTCCTCGGCTGTTGCAGATGGGCAATGTAGGTGCGTACGAGTTTGTCGCTAGGTCCCAGAGCATTGGCGATCCAACGCAACGACTTCCTGAGGGTGAAATACGCCTTTATTTGGCCCTTTTCGTCTTCGGTGATGCTTTTGCCGTGTGGCATGCTGAAATCGTGGTTTGGGTGTCGAGAAGTCATGTATGTGACATGCAATTGCTTGTAAGCATTTGGTTTACTTTAAAAAGTGCTGATTGGTTAAATAGTTATTTGCTTTTACGTTAGTCGAATCAAAAAGTGTGTCTATAGTTTTGTTTCACCCAAAAGTTTGAAAATTGGATTTATTTTCTTACTAATACTCCGGAGTACATGACTTAAGTTATTCTATGGGTTGACTGCAAGCACTGAATGTCCTTATGATTGATCGTTGCTGACCAAACCATTGTTTTCATTGTAAACTCGAGAATTTTGGGGTGCGTCTATAATTTTGTTTCGGACTGTAGAAGTCGGTTGGGAAATTGATTTTCCCAGCTCATAACGTTACCGTTAACTTCGTCACTCTAACAAGAGGTCTACTAGACGTTGTCGATTGCCGAACTGATCATTTGAACGATCACAACAAACTTCGTCACTGAACAAGAGGTCGAGTAAATTTACTGCTTAACCGAACTTCGAAGTATTACACACATCATTACATCCGAAGTTTAAAGTCTGAAAATTGATTTTACGACTTGCTAACTGTAAATCGATTGAACTGTAAAACGTAGTATTACTATCCGAGTGGGTGAAAAGTAGTACAGTTGTAATAGAACTTGGTGCAGTATTATCCATTCATCGATATTTTGACCGGATAAAACATGTGGATGTCGTTTAGGATTGGGCGATGGACGTCCCCACTAACTTGACGTGTACAGTAGTGTATCCGGACATGCTCAATGACCAACGACGCACCAAGTGATGTCAATACATACTATACGTATAGTACCAATCAGGGCACTTGGCCAATTTTATGATAATATTTCGGTTTATTTAAATCGAAATATTATAATTGTATACTAGTATTGGACAAAGTAAACAATAGCTTTTCGTACATTACAACTGTACGTACGTCCATACAACCCAGCAGCACAACGCTAGAGTGACACACCAGTGGCAAGAGAGCTGTCAATTCCACGTTTATTCAATTATCGAACTTTAATACACAGATCAAGTGCATATAAAACCAAAATATTAAATGAGAGAGAGTCCTATCCACTCTCCGTACATACGGCTCTGTGATTGGCTGGGTCCTTGCGATGCATACACAATAGCCAGTGTAGAAGCAGCGGTGTTGAGTTCCTCCGGCCAACTAACTCCTCATGCGCGTGTACTCGTGCTTCCTCGCCGTGGTGATGACCTCGTTCACGATGGCCCAAGACACAGACCCCATCTGCCTTGGATTTAGGGCGCCGTACGATGCGGCGGTGGCAAAGTGCGAAGCGGCACTTCGTGTCCGCCCAGGACCTCCCATCGGGTTGACATCTCAGCTTGAATTCTGCAGAGTTCCGGAATGCAAGGCCGCGATCGATGCGTCCCTCCAGTGGAAGGCGCAGGCTGCTGCCGTGAGCACATGCAAACCCCTCGGCGTTCAAGTGTGGCCGGGTCTGTGGTGTGCGGTACGACGACCGCCATTTCTCGATTTTCCGCATATCTCACGTGCTGCTTGTCGTGCAGGCCGAATGCATCAAAGCTGTCCCGCTCTACTCGAACGCGTCCTTGACATATTGCAACCAGAGCGCGGTGGCGCAACAAGAAAGCTACTGCCATGCATGCGAAGCCATGTTTCCTCTGCACAAGTCCATGAACGAAATGTGCGCGTTCAACAGCGCCACGCCCACGTCGTACATTTCCGCCAACTTGAACAACTTTGCCGCTGCCATGACGTTTTGCCGCACAACGTTCAAGAACATCGTGTTCAACTACCCCACAGACCCAAACGTCATCCTCGCGTCGACGTCCACGACGACCTACATTGGGATCGGCGCAGGAGTGTTGGTCCTCGTCCTGATTGTGGTCGGCGTTGTGATTTATCGGCGACGGCAGCAAGCGGGGAAATCGACACCGGCCACGAGTGGCAGTGGCGGGTACTACTCGAACAACGGCACGCCTACCCACGGCAGCGGCACGTACAAGGGCACCACGACCCACGGCGGGTCCGTGGCCAACGACATTCGCTTCGATCCGGACCTGGCGCGCTTCCGCATTCCCCAAGAACACATCCAGAACGTCACGCTTCTGGTCAAGGGCGGGTACGGCGTCGTGTTCCGCGCGACATGCCACGGCGAGGACGTCGCGATGAAGCAGCTGTTGCCGTCCAAGGCCAAGGATCAACATGCGATCCAAGAGTTTATGAACGAGATTCGGCTGTGTGCGCGCCTAGAACACCCCAAGATCGTCAGGTTTGTGGGGATTTCGTGGTCGACACTGCACGATTTGGCCGTGCTGAGTGAATTCATGGCCAACGGCGACGTGACCGACCTGCTCAAGGCCGAACGCAAGCGGTCGCCCAAAGACCGCGTGTTCTTATGGGACCCCCGCCACAACAACTTTGGCACGTCCAAGACGGCGGTGGCCGCCGATGTCGCCGACGCCTTGTGCTTCCTGCATTCGTTCATGCCGACGATCATCCATCGTGATTTAAAGTCGAAGAACGTGCTGATGGGCGCCAACTGGGACGCCAAGCTGAGCGACTTTGGGATTTCCCGCGTCGCAAGCCACGACAACACCATGACGAGCAACATCGGCACGGTCGCGTGGATCGCGCCTGAAGTCCTCACGGGAGGACACTACTCGGAGAAGGCAGACATATATAGTTTTGGCGTGTTCCTCAGCGAACTCGACACGCTAGAGTCCCCGTACGCCGAAATGACTGAGAAGAACGCCGGCGGGTTCTCCAATGCACGCATCGCCATGATGGTCAGTGAAGGTGCGCTGCAGCCTACATTCACAGACGTCGTGCCAAGCCCCATCTTGGACCTCGCTCAAAAGTGTCTCTCCTTCCGTGACGTCAATCGACCCACGGCCCGGGACGTCGCCGCCACCCTGCGCGCGCTTTGTAAAGTGTAAAGAAATCGAAGCCTCACTTGAAGTCATACTAGTATATGATTCTTGTGAGACAAATCCAACCAGCTGGTTTGGCACCCATGATTCTGATTGGTTCAAAAGTACTATTGTCGATTTCATACAAATTTCGGGAGGGGGTGCAATCGAATCGCGCCAACCAAACCGATCCACAATCGATCTGATTGGTTGTTGAATTTCATTGAGAAGATGTTGATTGGCTAATAATTTTGAGCTCATCGGAGGTAGCCAATCAAATCGATTTAAGATTCCAACGAGAAACCACGCCACAACACAATGAAATTTCACTCGAAAGCACAATAGTATTCAGACAAACAACTGTTCCATTCTTCCCTGCAATAACGCTCTGGAACATCATCGGTTGATAGGATATGATTGCTGCCTTTTGATTCTTTGCCAAATCTATCTACATATCCATCGATCGATTTCTATTGCTATTGGCGGTTGTTCTTGATTGCCTTGGAGACACGTGAGCGCCGCCGCGTCTTCAACGACAAACAAGATGTCAGGTGAATCACCACAGCCGGGAGATCGAAAGTCTAGCAGTGCGTTGGCGTCGGACACAGCATTGAGGTTGTACCGGATGTCTGGGATACTGTAACTGGGCGCTCAACGTACTAGCTTAACGCACGCAGGCAGCACTAAGAAATGACGTCGCTGTCACTCCATCATTGTTGTGATTGATGAATATCCGAATAATATTTACAGATATTTGTGAGCAGAACGCCAACGCATTCGTGCAAGAAATGGTATGTTTGATAACTACTACGTAGTATTCCCTCTGACGCAAAAAGCATGGTTCAAACACTTGCAAAACCTCTCAATTGTTTCTGAACCCTTTGAACCTGCTTTCCGTGACACTATTTAGGACTCTTGGATGGAATCACTGATCCCAAAATTGGAAAAGCACAAATCACAGAACAATCCTCTGAATATGCATACTCGTAGCCATACAACGCGGAAGGTTAAAATAGTACGTCAACACTTGGCATATCACTTTATATAGAGGTATATCATATATGAAGACCTGTATACAGCTGAATTGTACGAATTATCAACATAATTCGTGGATTGCCCTGAAAATTGTCTACAATGTAGGGCACTTCAGGATTCAAAAAGGATGTCTCAATCAGGAATTATGGTCATTCTCCGACAAACAAAAAGAGTTGTAAGAACCTGTTCCGACCAATAGGATAAGAATGACCAAGAATGATCCAAATTTGTAATTCACGTCATTCGCTATCTCATTCTTGTCCACCAGTGTAGATATTATTCAGTCTTCTTGGCCCAAATTGTGACCAATCATAGCACAGTCGCATTGGAATACATTGTAAATTTCCATCAACATGCTTCTAAAACCAATGGTAAAGATGACCGAGGCCCAGCTCCTCGAGCAAGTTCAGCTGCTTCAGCAGCAGCTGTCGCATCAACCGCCGCAGTTGCAGGGAGACAACGACGTCGCAGCTACGACAACGCCCAAGAAACGTATCTCAACCAAACCTTCCACGTCTAGCATTGCATCGTCGATGGCGACAAGCCTTGTTGACACGGCAAGTGAGGCCCCGGTTGTGTACACGCATACCATGGTAAACGCACTACTCGAGCTACGATTCACTGGATTTCGCGCATCGTTTAATGCCGACCTGTCCAGCAAGCAACTGCATGTACTCTGGGAAAAACTTGCCTTACGGTTTTACATTTTGACTGAACAGCCGTGCCAGGTTCCAAATATATCATACGTATTGCAAAGATCTTATTATACACTAGGTCTCAGTCGATTTACTCAAGAACAAGTTACGAAAGTTGCGGTCGGAGTTCGTTGCGATCCAGCATAGCTTGACAGCCACTGGCAACGACGAGTTGTCGACCCCCCCCCAAGCCGAGCTACTACTCGGAGTTGTTGGTTGCATTTGCGGATTTGCATGGGCTCGGAGACATCGATTTTGGCATGGAGCGTTCCCCCAGTGCTAGCCCAGGCGCCGAAGACGACGTCGAAGTGCTAGAGGATTTGTATGCCGCTGGCTCCATGCAACAAAACAAGCGGAAGGTTGAAATCGACTTGGAGATGCAGCGCCTGCGCCAAATGCGCAAGAAGCAGCATCCAGACCTTGCGGCAGGGCTCAATAGCCTCGGAGAAGCACTGGCGAGTTGACTCATTGAGACAGCCAAGATGAATAACTCCCGCAGCTCTGGCGTGGACGTGTCAGAACAAATGACAAAGCTATTGGATCTTATGGTGGAAACGAAAGCCAGCATCGATAAAACCAATGAAGTCAACGACAAAATGCTCCAGCTTCTCCAGGGTAAATTCTATACATTACAACAATTTGAAATGTAATTGTTATGGTCTTCTCCAAAGTAAATTCTAAGTAATACAATAATTTGAAATATAATGCATGTTTGTGCAATGTAATTAATAAGGCGATGAAACGATGCGAAGATGCGATATAGATGAATTATACTTATATACTAACATGTTGGCTTAAATACAGCTTGATCATATCCCGAGCGCGTTTTGCAGGTGCACCATCGACTTGGTTCAGCTCCTCATCGAAGACTGTGTCGCCACCGATGTGCATCCACTCGGGGAAGAACTCGGGTTCGAAGTTATCCAACTCCTCATTGAATTCAATGAACCAGTTATGAAACACCAAGGATACTTCAATCAGGCGCGCCATGTAGCTCGTCGATGTTGGAGCAGCTCAGTCTAAAAAAACAAAACTTGTTCTTCCAAAGCCCAAATGCGCGCTCGACGACCATGCGGCTGCGACTGTGGATCGTGTTGTAGTGCACTTCGTCCTGGGGCATATCCGAGTAAATCGTGTATGGGGTCATGAGGTGTGAATACAGCTTGTACCAGCGTCGCCAAGAAAGCAGCCACCCCCAGGGACTCTTTGGTGGCACCTTTTTCCAAATATCGAGTGGTTAAAGAGCGCCTTAACGTTCTGACTTCCAGAGCGCAACGAGTATGACTTGAATTTCATCCGATGATCAACTACAGCTTGCATATTGAATGCTGGAAACCCCGTGCGGCAGTACCACCCAGTGAAGCAGTGAAGTCTTCAAATCGTTTTATTGATATCAAACTGCCGTCGATGGCGCCGTAGGCATTGGGAAATTCTTACGCTTCGAACCCTTATGTCCTCCCATAGGGCATGTGTCGTTGACACCGAGATGGTATCCAACACGCAACAGAGTTGAACAACAGCAAGCACTTGATTACAATACTCGTACGCTCTGGTCTTTGAGATGCCAAAGAATGCTGCCGTCGACTCGTAGCCGTCTGAGTGAGGTAGGTAGTTAAGGGTGCAAGCTACGCGGTCATCAATGCCAATTCGATTGAACGTGGGTCGAGGGCATCGCAGGTGCCGCGTGAACCATGCATTAAGGGAAGTCGTAGATTTCACAAGCAACCACGTGTTGTTTGGAACAACGAAGTTGTTTTCAATGGGTCCACGGTTGCTGCGGCCGTCGAAGGGTGTAAGAGCAGCTGTCACCGCGGCGAGAACTGCTGCACACACGGCGGTCTCTTCGTCCATTAAAATGCTCTTTGTTGAGAAGATGCTTCTGATTGGTTAGACATATATTTATCTTTGACCAATCATGATCCACTATCTCCGGCCGCCACTAGAATGACCCTGGATAGGTCGGCCGATAATTATGGTTCAAGAATGAGGCGGAACGTGTTTTGATTGGCTCTACCCCATTCCAAAAGTTAGTCGGAACAGGTTCTAACGTTATTGCAACAATTGGCATTCTACGTTACTCCAAATTGCTATTATAATACCGGTAGTGTTTCTTAACTGTAAAGTGGCATGTTGAAATTCGTATTAGTTCTTGGTGTTGATGGAAAATGAGCTAATAAATGAGTGGAAATAAATATTGTCGATTTTCTTCAAATTTCCCAATTTTGCATTGTTCGTTCAATCGAGCACAAATAGAGCCAAGACATCTGATTGGTCATTATCCACTTCGCCCTTTCCAGTAAATGGATTGTAGCCAATCAGCGACAAGTAATTTCGGATTGACCAATGGGAGAGATTGGTGCTCGATTCGCTCGATTGAACGGGGTCCGGAAATTCATACCGAATCTCCAATATCCATGGGCTGAAAACAGTTCCGAGCCACTTGATTTTATCCAGTTACCTCTCGAAACGGATATGAAAATGCAGATGATTGGTTGATAATTTCAGATCTACCAATCATGTACTACTAGTATATCGTGGCATGGAACCATGTTGCCATGGAACTGCGCCCATACATTGCGTGTGTTGCCCACACTGTGTAGCACCCCGAAGCTATATTGTAGTTCGTATAGTTCCAGTATAATTGATGCAGTAGTAGAGTACACACTTTATTCACCTTCAGAAGCAATCGAATACTACTATTCAGTGATGTCAGTATGTATTCTTTAATCAAGATAACCGTATTCATTGCACACGTTTCTGCATTACACTTGCACCAACAGGATTCCGAAAACAGGAATATAAAAAATTCACTTGTAATTTGTATCCACGGCAATATTAATTAACGATAACTCAACGCCACATCTTTGTCGACCCAAGCAAGAATCCACGAAAACCAGTGTGCAACTCGACCTCATCATGGACGTTCAATCCGACGCCAATTACAACGCCGTGCACGACGCCAAGACGCCGAAAGTGCAGGCACCGACGGCGTCCAACAACAGCCACCGCCAAGAAGAGGAACGCCCCGACTACAAGATCGTGTGTTGCGGCAACAACTGGCTCGACTTGATCCTCGTGCCATTCACTGCCATCGCCCTGTACGGCGCCATGATCGGGCTCTCGCTCTTGGTCCTGTGGGCGGTGTTCTTGACGTCCTCGAGCGGGGCTGCCCACTGGATGTTCTTCTTTGCGTGGTTGACCGGTGTCATCGCAGTTGTGATCTCGGTCCAAGTCGCCCAGTACGAATCGTACCTCAAGGCTGAACATGCCAAGAAGGATGTGGCTGAAGGCACGAATGCATAGATGCATCTGCCTTTCCTCGCATTCCCTCTAAAGTTAAACATCTTCTTGTGTTCCGGTCGATTGTTCGCGGGCACCCCACACACAGTCGGGCTGTTCATGTCCTTGACTAATCCTTGGACGAGCGGCAGGTCCCTCGCACATGGATATCAGTCGTGTCCAACGACGCACGCATCCACTCGTCCATAGAGCACTCGACATAGATGATCCATGGGCCATCGCATGCGCTCGCCGCGGCCTGCCCGTGGTTGTGCATGTTTGTCCTTCCAGGGCTGCATCTCATCCATGCTGCGACGAAATCAACATGGTCGTTGTTAGCGTCAAAATATCCAACGGCACGCGATCTTACCACCTATAAATAGCCCACAATGGTGGGGGTCTATAATTAAATCGCTGTATCGAATGCGGGTATAATCGAATCTTCCATTGAGCACGCCATGGCCACCACCAGCACCGCGACGGAGAACCCCATTGCTTCCACCTCTGTGACCATCGACATTGAAGCGCCAATCCCCGCGGATGCTACGGCCGCCGCCGCTACGAGCACTACTGCGGCGGCCACTACTACCACCACCCCCTCGGCTCCCACGACAACGCCAGACGGTGGCAAATCCAAGGCCCCCGCACCCAAGAAAAACTATCGCCACGTCCAAGACGACTACAAGATCGCATGCTGTGGCAACAGTTGGCTCGACTTGTTCCTCGTACCGCTCACTGCGATCGTTCTGTACGGCGCCATGATTGGGCTATCTCTCTTGGTCCTGTGGGCGGTGTTCTTGACGTCCACGACGAACACCGCGCATTGGATTTTCTTCGCCGCGTGGCTACTGGGTGTTATCTCAGTCATCATTTCCGTGCAAGTTGCAGAGTACGAAACATACCTCAAGGCCCAACAAGTCAAGAAGCAGGCTTCCCACGATACCATCGCATAGAATCACCCAATTCTGTAATATTATACTTCATACGCACATCACATCCATGTCCACTTCGTAATCATCTATAGCTAGCAACGATTCAGATGGCCAAGAACAGCACGAGCAGGACTGCAACTCCACGCAAATCAACTAGAACACTTCGGGTACAGTACATAAACCGTCAGTAGCACTCTCATACTGCTCCCTTCATCACCATAGCGTATGTCTCTTCCATCACGCCCGAGATCGTCGACACATGGAGCGACAAGCATCGACCTTCCTTGTCAGAGAGACGACGTCGGCGTTGCTTGTTGGCGCGCAATTTGAAAACTGGGCCAACAATCCGGATAATTGCATTCCGGATAAACGGAAACCACCGCAATGGGAGATTTTGTGCAGTCAAGATGAACAAGTACACGGAAGTGACGTTTGAGCTGTTTGAAGATGCTATTCGGGCGCTATATGGGCAGGTGAGAATGAACTCGACGCGCGGAATCGCCATGGAGAGAGGCATGCTGAAGGGGGATGATGGCTGCCGTAGGATGGACCGGAGCAGCAGCGGCTCGCGAACGAGTACCTGGTGCATGTTTGGAACCAATGCAAGGTAGCCAATTCATCTTGCTTCGTTGGCGACGAGAACGTTGAGCATGACGTCATGACAGCAATCGTGGGAGTATGGATTGCGTGTGTTGGTGCGCCCTGTGGTCCCCGGACAAGGAGATCCCACGCAGACACAGTACTTTTGCGCCAACATGTTGTACGGCAAGGTAGGTGGTACATACTCCCTCGAGCGGTCCATCGAAATGCCTCTCATCGGATATGTTGTGCTTAGATCCGACAAGAATGGTTTGGTCTCACCACGGGCGAGCAAGAAGCCATTCAGTTGCAGGTGGAGCTGCTCATACAACGCATTCGCAGTGGATCCCTCAGGTCGCCAAATCCCCTCCCATCTCGCCCCTGTCCTTTCTCTAACGTGGACTATCCCATTTATCTCGCATGTAGCTTTGCACCAATCGTCCTCAAGCGCATTTGCATGGCGATGACCGCGCTGTCCCTTGCCACCGACGGCGGATGCGCGCGCTGTGTCACCGACTGCACACAGCACGTGTCATCGCTCGTGGACGTCCACGTGTCGCTTGAGCTGCTCACGAGTTTGGTGGACGATACAGACGATGCGTAATCTGCGTTTCCATGTGTATCTCTCTTCATGAAACACTAGGTACCTCCCGCCCAGCCGCAAGGACGCGCTCGTGCTCGAGATCACCGACGCCAGCGCCGTCGTGTTCCCATTCGTCGCCCGCCTCTTCGACACGCAGCAGCTCTCCTCGGACGTCCTTCGCTTGAACGGCCTCACGTGTCTGCGCGTGTGGATCAAAGCCGCCGGCTTCTCCCTCGCCAAACTGTACTCCAACATGCCTGCCGTATTCCAAGCCCTGCTGCAAGCCCTGCACCATCCCCAAACTGCCCCGGGTATATATATATATTCACTCAAATTTGGCCGACTTTTGGGCTAATTCTTTGCCAAATCTATCATCGATCGATACTACTTTGTACTGCATAGCTCGTCTCGTGTCACACTAATTTCAGTCATATACACTAATTCAATGTTGTTGCATTTGTCGAATGTGAGTGGATGATCATTTGATTGGCTACTTGGTTCGTGTTGTGGGTTTTGATTGGTCGATATATATCATCGATTGTCTGTCGACGATTTGGTGATTCTGCTCATTCGATCCATGCTCTTTCCATTGATTGGTCCATCTGAATATTGCGTGTCCGTGATTGGCTATTTTCCAATCGATTGCCGTGGAATTTGAACCAAACTTGCCTTGTTATATACGAATATCCTGAACGACTTAAACATTGTATATGTAGGACCCGTCAAGGAAGTCGTGGTGTGCGCTCTCATCTTGAGCGACGCCCTGGAAATCAACGAGTACCCTCCCGCGACGTCGAAGGACGCGGCGACGGCGGCGCTCCTCTCGACTCTGCTCACATGCCAGCCCACGATCCAGTACTACCTGCTCCACGATGCCCGTATGTGTTGATGTTTATATATATATATATATATATATATATATATATACCCGTTTTGTAAATGATGCTAGTATAAGAGAGATGTACCTTTCAAGTGTGTATATTCAAGACCATATCCTCATATATTGCATGTGTAGAGGTGGCGCACGCCATCACGACGCTAATCAGTACGTTGGGGGAAGCCGAACTCGACTGGCTGGTCCTTGGTAGCCCCGACGCGCTTGCATTTTCAGATCTGGTGGTATGATGTACATATATATATATCCCCCTATTTATCGTCGATTCTATCTATCATTTATCGTATATATATATATATATATATACGGAACGTACCTATGTTCATGATATATACTATTACCCCCCCCTATTTATCGTCGATTCTATCTATCATTTATATATATATATACTATTACAACTCCACTGACAGAATGAATGCGCGTGGAAAAGGACGTGATAATACCATCCATGTCCCTATTATTTGTGTATGCTATTTAATATATATATATATTTCTCTCTCTTTTTGCATCCATATCTATATATCTATTTCATCGATTTGTGGCTCCGTAGTTGACCCTAACAAGCCAACCCCGTCGTCAAATCGCATGTCTGACATTCGACGTATGGCTCGGCATCCAAGACTACCCCGTCGCATCCCGCCACGTGGCATTCCAAGACGCCGCCTTTCGTCGTCTGCTGCACACTCTGGTGCGTCAGTCTTGTGCCAGTGACGACGACGACGAACCAGACGACGATGTGACGGCCTTCCGACTCGCCGCCACAGACCTCTTGGTGGCCATCCATCACCTCCTCAAAGCCTCGTTTGTGGCCGACATGGTGCACTTGATCACGTCATCCAAAGTAGCCACGGAAGCCGCCATGTTTGCACTCACGGCGGTCTCATCCGAGCTCAAACTGCGCCTCGCAGACGACCTCCCGACGCAGCAGATGGTGCTGCACCTGTGCACGTCCATCCTCTTTGCCGACGTCACGCCGTCTGTTGTTGTGGTGGCGTCGGCGTTTCTAGGTATGTTCGATACATATATATATATATGGATGAGTGATTCGAATCTTTTTTTTTGGTTTGGCCGGAAACGAGAGAGTGTGAAGTATTTTTTATATTCGCTAGACACTAACTTTTAACAGTCGCCGCATATGGTTTGTCGAATCACAAAAAAATATATGGAATCCCTTGCTGGAAGCTTTTGATTGGTTGAATATACAATTGTCCTTTCTGTAATAGCCAATCAAATAACCCACTCAAAAATGGATTAGCCAATCCTAGCGTCGATGATTCGTGATTCGATTCGCCCTGGTCTCGACAAATAGCCACATATATATAATATAATAATATTTGCTCCATCTAGTTGTGTGTATCTGTGTGTCTATATATATATATTCACTTGATTTGGGATATACAAGGGAGTGTATGATGAACATTGGTGGATGCATTGAGTAGGTAATTTGGGTCCGTTGATTCATGCGCAGTGGACGACCCACGGCGCCGCCGACACGTCGCTCTTGGACGCGACGTTCCAGTACTTGTGCTTTGGCATGACCGTGTCCGTCGCCAGCTCCGCCGCGTGCAGAGCCTTCAACATCCTCTGCGCCTCTTGCACGTCGATACTCAGCCAACGACACGAGATTGTATCCACGGCACTTGGGTCACTCCATGTACGATGCAACTCGTCAGATTGGACACATATTGCCACATTGGACATGTATTATTGCCGCCATATATATCGGACATATATTTCCAGATCGGACATTTTGCCATACTGCCAGATTAGGCATATTGCCAGATGTTTTGCCAGTTTCGACGCATACTGCCAGATTGGACATATTGCCAGATCGGACATATTTCCAGATATATTGCCAGATGTTTTGCCAGTTTCGACGCATATTGCCCGATTGGACACATATTGCCAGATTGGACATGTATATGGAGCACACTTGACGTATAATTGTATATTGCATGATAGGCAAGTTTGGGCCATCTGGACAAGCAAGATCGGCAATGGGTGGTCGAAGGCGTGGTGCGCGTGGCGGCGGTGTCTGCGTGGGGTCGTCTGGCTCTGGAGCAGCTCCTCCACTCGATCTTTATCCGCCTCGCGGTGCCTTCGTCCCCCACCCCATCGCATGTGCCCATGGAACTCCACGCCCTCGGCACCGTTCTTCGCTTCCTGGACGCGCCATCTGCTGCGGCCGGTGGACCCGCTCTTACCCAGCACGTGGTCGACTTGAGCTGGCCGCACATCACTCGCGTCGCGTCGGCTGCTCCGTCGTTGCCATTGGACGGTACTGTTCTACTGCTTGTTTGATGATATATAATAGTATTATTGTCTGTGGATGACCCCAAAGCTGAATATATATGTACTGATTGGTTCTCCAACTCTATCGATTCGGTGGGACGGCATGTTGTATTGTCTATCTTTTACTCAAAATGTAGACTTTTGTGCTGAATCGCCAAATCTATCGATCGTTTCGTTGTACTGAATTTTGTATGTAAACAATTGTCCTGTGGTAATCACACTAATATATATAAATATATATATACCATACCATATACAACACTACTACTGTACCATATCGATTGAATACAAATAATATTATATATATATATATACCATTTCGTGTGTATATTTCTAACTCTAGTATTCTATAGTGGTCGATGCTCTCTGCGATGTATTTTCTGCGACGCTGCACGCGATGAAGCACACGCCAGCGTTTGTTTCGTCCGTGGAGTGTTGGTCCTTGTTATCGTGGATCGAAGGCCACTCTGTGACATCGTCGGCGGCGATCCCGTGCGCCATCGTCGCAGTCGAGTTATACAGCTCTCATCTTGCACCATCATCACCTATCATGCACGTCATCGTGGCCATTGGACACGACGTGATGACCCACTGCCAATCGGTGCCGTCGCCCCGCCATATCCCCGACCTCATCCGCGCCTACTTTGAGCTCGTCCAGCGCGCATTGGTGTTTTGCCCATCGAGCATCGTGTCAGACGCCGAGTTTCCGCCCATATTGCACCTCGCCATCGCATGTCTGATGGATCTCAACCAGCGCGAGGCCCTTCGAGCGGTCGTTGTGTTTGTGAATCACGTGGTGGCCAAGCGCGAGGCGCCGCCCCTCGTCCAGTTCCAATCCATCGTGGACACTGTCCTCACTGCGCAACTTACGCCGCTGTGGGTCGCCATCATGACACTGCTCACGTCCACGGGCCCCACTACGGTGCTGCCCACCGTGTCCCATCTGGCATTTGGTCTGCTCACGGCATTCGGAAATGATATGCACATGGCGGCGGTGGCCGACGCAATGTTAAGCCAGCATCACTTGTTTGAGTCCACGCCCTTGTCATTGAGTGATCGTCGACAAGTGCTCTCGGCGTGGCTCCAGTACGTTGTTGTATCTACTCATTTTACTAGTAGTACTAGTAGTATACATATAGTTTTTTGCACTGGCCACGGAATTGATGTTTCGCAAATACTAGTAATCGATTGGACATGGATCTGTGAGGGATGGATGGATTGATTCCTACTAGCGTATTCGATTGACATATGTATAACTGATAAACTTATCCTAGTGGCCACAAACTACACTAAACGATGATTGGTTGAAATGTCTACCGAGTGAAGTTTGATTGGCTACGACATTTTCAAATACATGTGCAAATTAAAGCGGATTTGAAAATCGTGTTTTAGCTGGAAAAATGATCAAACCATGATGGATGATGTCATCCTTTGTTACGAATGTATCTGTTTGAAATGATATATATATATTATATATATATATGAATGTTCTGTATGTAGGTACACGACCAACTACGAAGAGCGCAAGTTTACCGCGTTTGTCAAAGATTTCGCCAAAGTATGTCGAAAGGAACTGCCCGTGGAGCATTTGGTCGACCATTTCGTGGCGTTGCAAGACAAGTAGTAGTATTCCAGAGTGTCCTGCACCTAGTACGATCCTCCCATGATGCTTTAAATACCGGTAGTCCCATATATACTACTACTAGGCTTGGGTAGTAATTACCATTTTCTTGTACGTATACGAAACGTCATATAACGTATACATACCAACTACTCGATTGATTTCGTATATCGGAGTAGTGTCTTTTAACAGTAAATAGTGGTAGTCCTGTATATACTACTAGTACTACTAGGCTCGGGTAGTAATTATCCTTGTCTTGTACGTATACGAAACGTCATATAACGTATACATACCAACTACTCGATTGATTTCGTATATCGGAGTAGTGTCCTGTGTCATGCAATCACCGAGGACGGATGCTGTTGCAGTAGTGGAGATGGAGGGAGCCTTGTGGACGCATCCTTCAACATGCGATACGGTTGAGAGCGCGATGGATGCGTCCAAGGTCCAGGAGACTTGGCTTCCCCCAGGAGTTCGCCAATGCGCTTGTGCTTGGCGACACGGCCGTCGTATGTAGTTCTCGCGTCCATCGGATGTGGTGACAGAGGAATGAGGTCGCATACGTGGGACGGTGGCTCGTGCTGCTGCTCGTCAGTCCAGGCTGCAAGATGTTCGTCGGCAAAGAGCGTGAATGAGGTGGTAGTAGAAGTCGATGCAGTTATTGCGCGCTGTCGTCGAGACGCATGGAGTGCCTCCATGAGGTCGAGGAGGGAACTGGTAGGTGGAACTTGTGTGGAATGTACTGGCAACGCTGCTTGGGCTGGGGGAGTAGTGGGGTACAGGACGAGAGTCGATTCGCCCCATGCGGTGACGACAGACAACCGCCGCCGAAGCAAGGGCGACGTCGACGTGTGTTTGTACGACGTGGAGGTGGTTGTTGAGCTACTTGTAAGATCCCAGTGGTCGCCAGCATCTTCGACATAGTCGTACGCTGCGTTACGTAGCTCCATGCCTCTGCATCCTCCATGACCTCGTCCATCTGCCTTGTCCTTGCTTACGTCACGGCGGCGGCGAAGGTGGCGCCGTCGAGACGAACCATCATCGTAGGGCCGACACGATGCCATTGGAATTATGTGTTGTTTTCCATGTCGGAGATTTTCTTCGCATTCGATTTTTGTTCAGCTTTCTGGTCTGTGATTGGTTCATCCCACCAGCGTTCAACCAATCAAAAGCGCGTAATTTATCCCTTTGAAAAATCGAAACCGTGGGTTTTGGTGTCATGGAATGTCCGCGTCCCCACGACGTAGCTAGCTGGTCGTGCCGCATAGAGATGCGGCGGCCTCTCAGCGTCATCATGACGCCGCCACTCAAGCAAGTGTATATGACAACATGCGCGTATTCGATTCATCGCGGGACTAGTACTCGGACTGTGATCGATCGCTACTACCTCGATCTTACGACCAAGTTCATTCACACAACATCAACGCGTGGTTTCTATGTTGCTCGCACCAGGGAGTACTACTACATACTGTAGTACTAACGACCGCTCCTATCATCTTGTCGATGAAAGCGTCATCTATGCAGCCCCTCGTCTAACTTTAGCGCGCCTGTTCCCGATCGGCGAAACAGGCCCGAAATATGGACGACTGACTGGTCACTACCGTCGACGTTTCTTTGCACAGTAGTACTACTACTAACGTGACTAGTAGCTACTACGACTGTACTGTATGCCCACTGACTGCTACTACTAGTACATACTATTAATTGTACTAGTATAGTTGGATATTACCAGTACTACAGTACGAACGCGCCTATTTATAGAGCAATAACTACTAATTCAAGCATGGTTCCATCTTCATGTTGAACGCTTGGCGCGCTTCTTGGCGGGCGGGTGGGTCTTTGCGCCGCCCTTCTTGCGCTTCAATCCTGCTGCCACGTCATCGCCGTCAGAGTCATCCTATATTGTCCATATTGAACCACCAACCCCATATATATATCATGATGATGTATATATCGTACATTATCCTCCGAGCCAGCTTCGTCCTTGCCTTCCTTGTGCATTTGACGGTACTCCAAGTCGGCCGCTTCCTTGACCGCGTCCAGATCATCCGCGCCGGCCGCCTGCGCTTCCTTCACGCGGGCTACATGGACATATTAGTCGTCTTATATGGTTGGATAACATTCAAACCATTTAAAATGGACAACACACAACATATTTCAAATCACCAATCCATGAACCAGAAATTAGTGTGAGACTTGAAATAGTCTGTGGCCCGCACAACACTCCACACAATTCGTGTGTATGACTTCAATTAGTGTGAGAGGGTCGACATTCATTTCATTTTGTACACCAAAACATACTAGTAGTCTCAACCACGATTCAGTACATCGTCACATATATACGGAATTAGTGTATGCCTGCAATTAGTGTGTACCTTTGACAAACTCAAGGCGATCCTTGGCTCTCTTGTTTGAGAACCATGTCTTGAGCTGTCTCTTGGTGATGCCGCCGTCGCCTTCCGCATTAAGCTGGTCCTGCAGCTGGTCCATCACGGGGTTGGGCGGCCGCGCCGTGGATTCGAACAGCGCGCTCATCCGCTCCACCTGCTTGTCATTGAAGATGCGTCCATTCGACTTGCCCGGTTTCGCCGCGCTAGTAATACTACTAGTACTAGTCGCATGCCCCTTGTCGTCGTCGTCCAGGTCGTCGTCACCCATGTCGTCGTCGTCCATGTCGTCGTGCTCCCCCATGTCCTATCGGGACATTTGGTTATAACGTGGTCATTTTCGAATAATATAGGATATTATTACGCAAAGAAATACATGGTGGTGAAAAAATGATATTCTAGCCAATCAAATCACATGTTGGACATGTTTGAACCAATCAACGCGCATTATCAACGTTTGATGACCAATACCGGTCCAAACAAAACGTATATCATTAGACATATATATTAATGTCTACAGATATACTTTGAGCTTCTTCAATATATATATATATATATATATATATATATATATTGAAGAAGCTCAACATCCAGCACAAATCGATTCTCCAAGCCAAGGGCAAGTCGTCCCTCTCTCTTATTTTAGCCAACCCAACTCTACCGTATTTGTTTCACCATGAACGATATAAAACGCAACTAGAACGGTATAATATCCAATTTCAATCGAATGATATATTGTGATATTTCGCTATAAGTTTATCTAATACTATATTGAATGAACGCTGGAGTTGTTCTGATTGGTTGAATATACAATTGTTCTTTCTGTATGAGCCAATCAAATAATCCACTCCAAAATGGATTAGCCAATCATAGCGTCGATTCGTGATTCGATTCGACGGGGTCTGGAAATTCATAGTATCGAATCAATAGTTTGAATATATTCACACTCTTGAACATGGTCACATGTACGTACTCCATGATCGCTAACATGTCCATCTGGGAGCGGATGGCCGGCCGCCTTGCGCTTGTAAAACCAGCTTCGCACGTGCTTGTAGTCGAGTGGATCGCCTTCGTTCAGCGTCGACGCCAGCTGCACCAACGTATCTTGGTCTGGCGAGTCGTTCTATATAAACAATTTAAACAATTATACAGCTGAGGCTACTATCCAAGGAATAATATAATTATATACACGAAACAAGATCATATATATTAAAAGACCAACCAATAATAGGTTCGCTTTCTATATATATATATATATATATATACATCCACTACGAACAAAGTCACACACTGGAAGAACGAAGCACAATAGATGCTACTACTCAAACGTCGTTCAAATATAATATAGGGTAGTAAACAAACATTGATGGACCATATATATATATACATTGATGGACCATATATATATATATATATATATAGACCTCGTGGAACGCGCGCTCGAGTGTTTCGACCTGGTCGAGTGAGAACTCGACGTGGTGGCAACTACTAGCTTGATAGTAGGCGTCTGTAGTAGCCTGGATAACCTCGCTCAGTTTCGAGGCAAGGCGCACCACATCCTTGTTGTGCTGGTGAGCCTTGGCTACGAGTCGCAGCTGTCGGTCCAGTCGGGTGTCGAGTAGCACGGGCACCGGCAGCTCCACCGACAGCAGCAGCTCCAATATATCCATCACACACTCGGGGGCAGCGTCGTCTTCAACTAGCTTGAGCAGCGTCAGCTTCAAATGAGTCACTTGGTCCTTATTGAGAGGGTGCGGCCCCAACGGCTTGCCGTTCATGTACAGGCGATCCCGCGCCAATTGAATAGCACGACTGCGTTCGTCTTTGATTTCGTCCTCACTACACACAGCAGGGAATGATATATATGTGTAGAAACGAGAAAATGTGTATATATATAGATATATAGACACGTGGTGTGGGAGGTGGATAATGTCAAGAGCATATGTATATATATATATGATGGTCCGATTTGTAAAGGTGGACTAGACGACGACGCAAGGTATATATATAGATATATAGAAGCAACGAGATGAAATATATGTGATTTAAAATATTTCATATCGATGACGACAAAAAAATACAAACATCGTACACGACAACCACGCATAGACATAGACGCCAGTATAGTTGAAATAATATCCATGTCGTGGATAGAAAGTACATATATATATATATATATATGATTCAAATCGAGGAATGGTAAACCAAAGTACATATATATATATATATAAATCATACATGCGATTCCAACCAAACACTATCCATCTATCACAAATATATATATATATATATCCAATAATACCTGAGCCCAGCCTCCCGCGCCATCTTGACTGCTTTGCGCACGGACGCCACATGGTCCATCCGCAGACGCTGCTTGGCTTTGACAGGTTTCTTCTCTGGGGACGATAGACTGGTGCTGGTCGTGATAGCTGCGATAGAGTACGGATGATGATGGGATGGAAGAGGGGGCGGAGGTGCGAGGTCCTCCTATCAAAAACAATAAACTGTCACATTTCATATATATATATCCTATACAACAACACCAAGACCTGTCACATTTGATATATATACACACATTTGATATCTATTTCCTATACAAAAACCAAAAAAACTGTCACCTATTTGATATATATATCATGATATATATCAAATAGGTGACAGTTTTTTTTGGTTTTTGTATATATATCATGATATACAAAACCACCAACACCTGTCACATTTGATATATATATATATTCCGTACCGACGCGGGCGTGTCGCCAATGAGCTGCTCGGCCTCCTCCATGATGTCCATGGCGCCGGAACTCGTTTCGCGCATTTTGGCCACGCGCCCCTCGAGCACTTCCTTGGCTTCGTCAATGTACCCCGCCTTCATCTTCTTGACGCTTTCCGAATCCAGGCCAGACGTGTCCACGTCCTAATAGATATATATATATATTCCAGACGTTTTTTTACATATATATTATATATATACGTTTCATATCTGAATGAAAAGCCAAACGATAACAAACATTCGTCGGGTGTTGGTCCTGTGGCTATATTTTGTCGCCCCAATAACACACTAATCAAAACTGTCGCTTGAAACGATATATAAATATATATATATATATAGGTCGTATTGATAGTATCTACTATATATCCATGTAGACTCGTATACTTTCCAATCGCGCCATCGAATAATAATCACGCAAAGAAAAAAGATCAAGCGACCCCCCTCCCTTTATCAAGACCACCACTCTCACATCAAACACACGCCATCAAACGACATACATTCTCCAAACTTTCTTTATCAATGATTCATTTCTATATATATATATATAAATCCATCCTGAATATTATCCAATCAATAAAAAATCAAACAAATGACCTACACTCTCCCACCCAAACGACATACATTCTCCAAACTCTCTATATCAATGATTCATTTCTATATATATAAATAAATCCATCCTGAATATTATCCTACCAATAAAAAAATCAAACAAATGACCTACAGGAGCCATTCATCTTACCTTCATTTTGATTCGCATGTAATCAAGTCGTTCCTTGGCGCGTCGGTTGTCAAACCAGATGCGGATCTGCTTGACGGCAATCCCTTCGGGCTGGAGGTCGGCGTCGGCGTACGCGGGGGAGTTGATGATTCGGTACATGGCGTGGATCTCGGAGCTTTCGGGGCGGCTGCTCTTGGCGTACCAGTCCTCTAGCTTGGCGATTTGGGCCGACGAGTACAGCCGCGACGCGCCGCCTCCCGTTTTAACTTTTAGTTTGGCTTTATGCATCTCCTTCGCTTCTCGTTCGAGGGTCCGTTGCTCCAGGTTGGGCGGGTACTTGACGTCTTTTATCAGGTCTACTTCGGTCTGCACGGCGTGGTACTGCAGTGTGTACACGAGGCTTTCTACTTGACTCAGCCCTGCCGCCAACTTGCGCAAGAGCACGAGATGGTCCGATGAAGCTTCCTCCGAGATCGATATGTGGTCGGGATTCGTGTCATTCGTGGCGTCGTTTCGAGAGTGATGGTGCTGAGAGTGATGGGCTTTTAACGAAGTACATGATGGACCCAAGTGCTGCTCCACGTCGTGCTTGAGGGATTGAGCTAACGTGAGCAGTTCCTCGCCCTTTTCCAACACGAGGCCGTTGAACTTGCGCCCAGCTTTTAACGCGACTTCGACCAACCTACACAGCATATATATATATATATATATATATTTATATATATATTTATATATATGGTCAAGTCGATTTTTGAAATTATATATATATATTGTCAATCGAATGCGCAGAATCACCAAATCAGCAGACGATCGAAAATCGACCAATCAAAACCCAGATCAATAATCAAGTAGCCAATCAAAAATTATCCACTTTTCGACCAATGCCACATTGAATTCGTGTGTGACTTCAATTAGTGTGACATTGGGCGATTTTTACGTACACAAGGTAGAACAAATCGATAGATTTGGCGAATCAGCACAAAAGTCCAAATTTTGGGTAAAAGATAGACAATATATCGTCAAGTATCAACTGGACTGTGTAGTAGAGTATATATATATATGGACACCATTGGCAGCGACAATATCTTTTTTGCAAGACAAACTAAGAGCATAGTCATACCAACGTCACTTTGTCGACGTGAACACATGTCACAAGTTTGAAATCACCCTTTAAAATATATATCTATACTATTTCGTTCAGAATATATATAATCACAAGAGACGTTATAGAAACCCAGTATGAAAACCCTCGAGTAGAATTGAACCCAAAACAACCTAATATATATATATATATATATATACTTCAGTGTTATATTGTCCACTCGGTTCAAAAAGTAGAACTATTGTTGTGCGACGCAACAAACGTACAGAAGAATCGGCAAAAGAATGTAGCCAATTAGATTGCAGGAAACCAGCATACACCAACGCCGAATTAGTGTATGTGACTTGAATTAGTGTGATACCAATCACCACACGACGGCACCTTTTCACATACAAAACTCAGTACAATCAATCAATCGATAGATTTGGCGAGTCAGCATACAAATACCCAATGCCGATAAAGCCAAGGGACATGGCAGCATACAGGAAAGCAACCACCACCACCAGATGCGAGAAATCGTGGGAAGGATACCTGGCGTACGACTCGTCGGTGGCTTTCGGCGTCGAGGACGAAGCGGCGGCAGCGGCACTGCCGGATGGTTTGCTGCGGGACGGAGGGGTCGCTCGAGGGTCGGACGACGGCGGACGCCGCCCCGCGGCCTTTCCCTTGCCCTTGGGCGTGACCACGATCTTCTTGATGGGCTCGCAGTCGGGACAAAACCATTTCTTCAAGTGATTCGTTTGGATCAACTTGGCGTACTTTTGACGAAAGCACGTCGGGTGGAACCGCACGCCGCATTGCGCGCACACGAGCGCGCGCTTGGCGTTGGACGTGTCTTCCTGGCACACCTCGCACACCGTGGACGACAGCGTTGCCTTGGGTTCCTACGATCAACAAGTGTACGTTGAACGACGATGACGACTGACTGCGGATCGATGAGTACCTTGCGGAGGTTGTCGTCGTCGTCGTCGGCAGCGTGGGTGTCGGCCGCGGCAGCATTGCGAAGCGACGCCTGCTGTTCCTGCTTGACGAGCAGTTGCTCGAGCTCGTCTTCGTCCATGTCGTCATCGTCTTCGGAAGGGGCATGGGACCGCGGGTCGTCGTCGTCGTCGTCGTCGGACGATTCACTTGCATCACTCAGCGGCGCCGGCTTGGCCTTGACCAACGATGCCAAGAGCGACGAGCCGGTGCTGATGGATGGCGGCAGGTCTGTGGCGGAAGGCTGTGTGGGCAGCGGCGGCGGCGGCGCGTCGTCGTCGGTCGAGTACTCGGAACTCATCTTGAAAATGAGGGGCCGTGGTAGTTTTCCATTGCCCGTTGGGGTTTATTTATAATGCGGCGGTGGAACATGGACGGTATACTGAAACCAAATGAAGTCGAACCAAATATTATCATTAACCCCACCACATGCACCAAAATGACAGACACATGCACAATATTAAATGTTGGAGGTTCTTGCAACCACGTCTAGAGTATGAAACCTCTATAGAATGATACGACTTGGTATGCATTTTAAAAGGGATGTTGTAGTGTGGTGACAGTACACTTACCACAGTAGGCACAGCCAAGGTCAGCGATGGCGATGACGGGCGCAACAAGATACTCGTCGCATGGAGGGTTCACATGAGACGCGAGTGTACGATGATGCGGACGGGTGGCGTCTCGTCGTCGGCATTAAGTAACGCCACCAACCTTGGTCACAAACTTGTCTATTTGTAGAAAAACTCTGGAACATGATACTACTCCTTGCAGTTATACGGATAACAAGCGGATAGACACGGCCTCCGTATCCGGCGCCCTATGCATCCGGACGATTGGTTGAAGCATAAAATCAATCGCAAGATGGACGCGGCCGACTTGCTGGACCAGTACACGGATGCGATCTACGCGGCGACGTACACGGCGGATGAAGTCGCGGCGCTGAAGGCAAGGAAAAAGTTGAATGAGACGGTCATGCTATGCCGAACGATCCTGCGAGACGAATCGTGGGAGCACGACGCGACCGTGAACGAGCTCGACGTGTACCTGACGTACGCCAGCGCGCTGGAGTCGTTGACACGGCGGTACGAAGCCATCGACGTGCTTGTGCGGGGGTTGGACGTCATGGACGACCACCCCATGCTTCAATTGGCTCTGGCGCGACTGCAGTTCAAGGCCGGCCTGTACAACGACGCGTTGGAAACCTGTCTCCTCGTCATGCAAGCGTATCCACACGACACGCGATGCAGTGCCGACAGCGCTGCCGACGCCTACCATCTCGCAGGTACTGCTCCCAGCTCCACGATCTACTCGTCACCTTGTCCTTTCTCGCTTGGTGTAGGCTGGGTCAAGATTCACGGCGACGACCATACCAACGCGTATGCGCTGTGGAGTCGTGGTGCCCTCGCGATCCCGTCCTCGTCTGTCCTGGCGCGGCAGCATCGCAAGCGTCAGTGCTGGGACAACGACGCACCCGACGACTTCCTTCTTCCCCACGGCTTGGTAGGATCTCCATCTCCATCGCATCCTTCTTGACGTGCATGCATGATGCACAGGTAGGTCAAGGCACATCAGGACTCCCTGCGGAAGGTTTTGCCGTGCCCGCATCGACTCGCGCGGTGGCGCTGTTCGATCCAACCACCCAAGCCAACCGCCTCGTGTTTCGATCGTCGTCGCCGCTCTTGACCAAGGTAATCTATTTTTTCGATCATGGTTTTATAACGAAAATGTTCATATTGTAAATTATATATATATATATTGCGACAAGTGAAGAAAGGATGAATATTCGATCACCCGTCGACGGTTTGATTCGTTTGTTTTCACCTTGTAGCATATGGTTATTATATATATATATATATTGTTGTGTTTTCTCCAGGTTTTGAGATGTGGTATTGTTTTGGTCTGATGGAAGTTGGGGTACTGTAGTATTTATAATAGTATTAATAGTATTAATATTGACTTGAGCGTGTATTTATGGTCCATTTCGCTAAAGTTCTTGAACGTGCCAAATAATCATAGTAATATCTTACACAACCAAACGATAGGCCAAGATCGATGATTGGTTCAATTTTGTACAAAGTAGACTTTGATTGGCTAGAACATTCTACATTTTTCCATATGGTCTTTTTTGCTTACTATCCTTCGATGAGTTGAAGCTTCTCTCCGTGTATCATATTAATAGACACATTGAACCAAGTACGAACAATTTGATTAGTTGAAGCTTCTCTCCGTGTATAATATTACTAAGGATATACACGTGTCGACATGTACGAACGTTTTGATTGGGCCAAAACATGTAACATCTATGATTGGTTCAAATTTGTACAAAGTGAAATTGGATTGGCTAGAACAGTCTACATTACCATATGGTATTTTGCCTCCATGATTCAATATTGGGTTGTAGGGTGAATGTGACGCTGTCATCGACATCGTCGATGCATTCCACCGCGACGTCCGGCACGGCCAGTGGGGTACCGTCCGCCACTCGAGCGTCAACACGACGGACGTTGCTGTCGAGGACATTCCGTTGCTTCGGCCGTGGCTGCGCAAGTTGCTAAATTCCCGCGTGTATCCGTTTCTGCACGAGTGTTTTCCCCGCCTCGCCGATCATACGTCTATGCGCGACGACACCACGGGCGCCACTCGATGCCGTGTCCACGATGCATTTATTGTTCGGTAAGTATATATATATATATATATATCTTTATATTAATTTATATATATGTATATATGTATATATTTATTTATATATATATATATATATATATGCATGGGCTTGTGTGTGTGGAATCGAACTTTTTTCTTTTTTTTTTTCGTAGCCTGAACATGTTTTTAGGTTTCGTGTTCTCGAAAATGGCGTGTTTTGGTTGGTTGGTTTGTTGCTTGTTTTTATTATTACTATTTAAAATTATTAATAATAAAATAATACGACAAACATGAATGAAAAACAAAATATATAAAAATATGGGATTGGTTTGTGTTCATTTGAAGGTGAGAGGGTGGGTGGTTGCCCCGTTCTATGGCCATGTTTGGGAGTCGAGGCGAAATGTTATGGAAGTTAGATATTATGCAATTTTCATTATATTTAGCCTCAAGAGTCATTTCGACAACTAGTATACGACTCCATGATGTTTTTGATCGAATTGAAGCTTGTACAGATTATACTATATACAAAATGTAGTATATATATATATATACCTGATGGGCCCGAGCCAGAGGAACTGTGCTGACGTTTGGATTGGCAGAAATTCAACAGATTCGTGATATTTGATTGGCTCAGGCAGTTCTTAATGAATCCTCCATTCTCTTAAGACATTTCGATTCTGCCGAGAAAGGCTCCAGTATGAAATCGATGTGACAATATATATATATATATATATATATATATATTGTATATATATATATATATATTGTATATATATATATTGTATATCCATATATATATATATATATATGTCTAGTGTTTGGACATAATAGTATGATATTTCTACATCGTGTGGCTGTGTAGGTATGATGAGCTGGACCAGTCGCTGAGCCTTCCCGAGCACAACGACACGTCCGTGGTGAGCGTCGTCGTGAGTCTGAACGACCGCTTCGTCGGCGGAGGCACGTGGTTCCATGCGCTCCAGCAGGTCGTGGACGCCCCCGTCGGCCACGCCGTCGCATTTGCTGGCCCGCTGAGGCATGGGGGTACGACCATCACTCACGTTAATACCGTCATTCCTCCAAACTGGATATTTTTGTTCCATGGATATGGATGTATATATATGGTCTATAATACTGGTCGTTTTGATAACGTAGTTTAGTATATATTATAGATGAAGGAATCAATGGCAAATCAATACTATGAGTATTCGAGTATGTAGTATCAATTCGGTGACAACGGTAGGATATATATATATATAGCCTGGATTATGGTTTTTGTGGTGTATAATACTTTGACCAGTATTTCAAACGATTGAACGAGTAAAACAGAGCAACTCAACGGCGGTTGCTTATTTTTTTATATTATTTTGAGTCCTCATACTACTGTAGGGCCGTTTATATACGTATTTTCTTGTTATCAAATGGGAGCGATCAAGAATAAATTCTCGACCTGGTTTTATATATATATATATCTTTGCTATCCTTGCACCATACACTAACATTAGACTGAGTGAGGTTGGTGGGTATTTATATATGTATATAATATATATAGGTGTTTATAATGTATATAATATATATAGGTGTTTATAATGTATATAATATATATAGGTGTTTATATATGTACATATATATATATAGGTGTTTATATATATATATAATATATATAGGTGTTTATATATGTATATATATATATATGGGTGTTTATATATGTATATAATATATATAGGTGTTTATATATGTATATATATATATAGGGCATGCCATTACGTCAGGATGTCGGCTGATTTTGGTGCTATTTTTGTACGTCGACGGGTTTGCGTACGGCGACTACTTGAACGCTGTATACGATGACGTGGCATCCCCACAGGACACGGACAAGGGATTTGTCGTGTACAACCAAACGGTGGAATTGGTGGCGACGCTCAACCAAGCGCCGACGTCCATGGCGGTATCTCCATTAGATGTAGCTCAAGATGATGAGTCATGCAAACAACCCAAACATGAGACTGGTTGATGGAATAAGGTGTTGCGACTTAAGGAGAGTTTGGGGTTCTAACTCCGCGACCACACTGCAAGGAGCTCGCGGCCGCGCCGGGGCGGGATCGAAGTCGTCGGCACATGCGTAGAGTCAAGGACGAGGCCCGCGGGTTCAAGGATGTGGCGGTAGTCGTCGAGTGAGAGCACGTAGGGAGGTCCTTGATCTGTGGACGTGGAGGAGGAAATAGAAGAATATGACAAAGGGAGAGGTGGTGGGGCCAGCGGAAAGAGAAGCGTGACGAGTCGACCGGTGTCGGGTCGAAGCAGGGCGTGGAACCGCGCGGCACATGCGGCGCGCATGCTGGGGTCGATGGCGGCAAAGAACAGATAGTCGTAGATGAGGTCGAACGAGTGGGGGTGGACTGACGGAGTCGACGGAGCGAAGAAGTCTGCTTGCACCAGAGTGATGGAGTCGGCATCCCTTCCAAGGTTGCTTCGCGAGACGTCAATAGCTGTGGACGAGATGTCCAACCCCGTGGCATCCCATCCTTGTGCATGCAAGTGCAAGAGGTCAAAGCCAGATCCGCACCCAGGTACTAGCGCCTTGCGGCGTCCGCCGACTTTTGGATCGTTGTTGGAAGGTGGAAGCAGTGCCAGGCCTTCCACAAACGAAGGGTTCACTCCCTGTAGTTCCCATGGGGTCACCTGCTGCGTCCATGCTTTCTCCCAATCCCTCCCGACTTTGTCGAAGAAATGGCGGCGCAGAAGCTTCACCTTCCCACCGCCGCTACCGCTTCCACAGCCCAAGGTACGTCGCATGTTGGAACAAGGCGAAAAGTGTTTGAAAATGGAGTGTTTTGGATTGGACAAAATGATTATATTCCTAGATTGGGATTGGTCCATTAGGAACATTACTCGTTTTCTTCACCAATCAAACGTCGCAACACGCGGTGCCCGACGGCAACATCACCTTGACAGGAGGCAGCATCACAATACCGGTAGTCATGGTCAAGGAGTTCCAGCCGCTTCTGTCGCCGCCGCCCATCTCGACGGACGAGTGGCACCACGTGTTCCTCATTACGATCCCGCTGGTCTTGCTTCAGATCTTAGAGTACCTTCCACTGCCGATCCTCAACATGTACTTGGGCCATCTTGGTTCGTCGACTCCTTCCACCCTCATGGCTGGCCAGCACACGTGCATAGCTTCTCATACGAGATCTGTAGATCTAGACCAAAGCGAGAACCGCGTCGTGCTGGCTGCAGGTGGCCTCAGCTCGCTCTTCTTCACCACGACCGCATACAGCGTGGTCATCGGGGTCAGTACTGCCATGGATGCATTGACCGCGCAAGCCTACGGGAAAGGCCGCGGGTTGGAGCTCGGCATCGTCCTGCAGACGGCGGCGTTGTGCGCGGGGGTGCTCTGCGTACCTCTGGCACTGGTCACGTTCTTTTCTGGCTCGATCTTGGTCGCCCTGGGCCAGCCCGCCGACGTACTTTATTACTTGTTGCTTTGAGCTCATATTTGTGAGCTAGATTGCAAATGCTACGCAGCAGTTGCTCAGATGGTACATGCTCGAGATTCCGCTTGTGTTTGCCTACGAGTACTTTAAACGAGTACTCCAAGGCCAGAACATCGTGTGGCCCATCGTCGCCGCCATATCGGCGGGCGCGGGAGTCGCGCTGTCTGTGGGTTATGTGTTTGTGCTCCACACTAGCCTGGTATTGTCTCTCTTGTACCCAAAATTTGGCCGACTTTTGGGCTGAATATGACTCCACGGTCTCTGTAAATCAATCACATGTGTATATTCGATTGTAGGGGTTTGTCGGTGCACCATTGGGCATGATTGGGTACTACTCGACCGCGGGCTTCCTGCTCTACCACTTAGTACGACACAATCACGTTTATCTCCTCGATATATAAATATATATATTAATGATATATATATAAATTAATGATATATATAAAAATTAATGATATATATATAAAAATTAATGATATATATGTAAAAATTAATGATATATATATAAAAATTAATGATATATATGTAAAAATTAATGGTATATATATAAAAAATTAATGACATATATGTATGTATTAATGATATATATATATATTGATCGTAACTCTTCTTTGATGTGATAATATTTTTTCAGATGTAATCGTCAAATATAATACGTAGATGCACACCCCCAGCATGCATTTTGACTGGGCTGCTGCGAAACAGAACCTTCCAACGTTCCTCTGCTTGAGGTAGGGCAACGACCATATGTTATAACTGCCTCAAATGATAATATAACACGGCAGTGTTATAAACCAAAATGTGTTCCAACATCGCTATGTTATAATACCTCCACGAGATATATAACATCGAGATGTATAGTGCGAACGGGTGGCTGATGTTCCTGAGCGAGTTTGGAGGCATCGCTGCGACATCGTTCATGGCGGGGTCGCTGCCGGATGCCAGTACGGCGCTGAGTGCCAACACTATTTACGCCGGCTTTCGATCGCTCTTTGGGATGGTGTACCTTGGCATTGGGTTTGCCAGGTAAAGCCTTTCCTTCAAAACAGCAACTATATATATATATTATATATTTACTGCAGGATTATACTTCGAAGTATTATAATCAAATAATGTTGCCTGTTGAGAGTGTATGTCCATACATTATTCTCGTTGGATGATTTCGGTCCAAAATACTCCATATCCCACCACGTACTGGGGCAAATATTTGATCTGACTGTATTATAGTGTTGTTTCGAATCATGATCTCCATGTATAATATATATATGGAATTCCTACCTTGGCCATGCCAATAGAGTAGTATTTTTCTCCTTGATATATATCTATATATTGCATCGTACTCTTCTGATAGATACGTATATGATGACTCTTCAAGCTATCAAATGTGATTGTATCTTCACTCCTATATCATCACCACCACCACCTTCTCCACACTATTAACTAGCTCGATTACAATTAATGTATAATACAATGACTAACCACTCCATACATTCATTGCCACTGTAGCTCGGTGCGAGTAGGCAATGCACTAGGTGGGAACCTCCCCATCCGTGCAAAAACTGCCGCGTGGCAGACGGTGCAGCTGGGCTCGTGGTGGGCCGCCGCGTCCACCGTGTCCATGGTGCTGGTCGGGCCCCTCTACGCGACCCTGTACACGCAGGACCCGGCGGTTTTGAGTGAGGCGACGACGCTATTTTATGCCACGGCGCCGTTTCAGGTGACGATGGGGGTGTGGGGGGCCGTCCAGGGTACGCTCCGGGGCAGCGGCAGGCCGCACCAAGGGGCGGTCGCCAACGTCGTGGGGTTCGTGGGGGTGGGGGTACCCCTGGCATCCGTCCTGTCGGCGTACTGGGGGCTCGTGGGGCTCTGGGTCGGCATCTCAGTCGGGTTCTGTCTGTGCGCCGCGTACGGACTGTACTGGCTCGTGGTCGCCGACTGGGAAGCCATCGCCGATGACATTGCCCTGCAAACAGCATAAACTAGCTCTAAAGTAGATACTGTATGGGGGGCCACCTACCTGTCCATATATATATATATACTCGTTTGTCATGTGTTTGGTACGAATCCTATTATATAAAATAGTGTTGTTTCAATGATGCCAACCGTACGACTGCGTAGTACAAGTAGTAATACTGTAGTAGTACTAGTGTACAGTATTAACGCGATTCAATTGTACAAGCTCGCCCCGTCAGCTTCTAAAACTACTACTGTAGTATATATCCACCGAAAATGGATGGATTCGATATTGTAGAGGACTGACACCCCTGCACAAAATATGAACGATATAATACTCAAACTCCTATTAATTAGTCCTTTGTGAACTTCTATAATAGAGTGATTTTGCTAAGTACTACAAGTAAGCTTAGTTCAGTAGTTCGAGTATGGGACTGTCCACACAAAAGGAAGGAGAGTAGTCGTTGAATAGGATTAATGGGGTTTGGTCATGGGGGAAGCCGCCACTTTGGCCCCCCCAGGGTCGACGGGTTGGTCGTGGCTTATAAACAGAATCTCTGGCTGAATTGGGGCCATCCCCCCAAACTGGTGGGATGGAACTAAAGCCGGCAGCACTGCCCCTTCGACCGTCGTTTGGTTGGGTCCCCCTACAAATAGCATCAACATCGTGAACAACTCTGAATCCTTTCAAGTGACTCTATTTCTCCACTGACTCGATGTATCCTCTATATATGTACATGTAATTAGTATACCTCTGGGGTCGGCGCGTGCCCATGCCGCGGGTTTGGGCTGTGTGCGCAGAGGCACTTTGGGTTTTCGCAGTCGCCCTTCAAACGGTTGGTTCGTCACTGGATCAAACCTAGCAATATGGAGACATGAGTATGGTAGGATGTAGTAGTAGTAGTTGCTCCACGCTACTTTGCACACGTTCACAAGGTAGTAGTGTAGTACTACTACTACTACTAGTCGCAGTAGTAATCCTAGCCATCGTAGTGTGTACTAGTACTACTACCTACCCGTGGACATATGCTTGGCCGTTGCGCTCGTGGGCGATGCGGTTCAACGCCCGCTCCTGAGTCTTGTCTTCGAAGGCATCGGCTCGTTCGCGCACTGCCTTGTTGATTTGCTACATCAACAATTGTCATGAACCCCCGAAACCCCCCACCCCAACCCCCCCTCAATCTGCAGATCTTGTACCGTGGACTTCATGCAGTTGAGTCGTCGATTGCCGACGTTGGTCACGGCTTCATACTTGTCTGGGCGGAGGATCTTGTGGTTGACAATGTTGTACAACTTGCCGGCGCTGAATTGCTCGCCGTGGGGGAGCTTTTCATCTCGGTCGACGCCGTGCATCTGGTTTTGAACGGTCCTAGCGGCGACAAAGGCCGTTTCTTTCGTCTCGTCGTAGTACCGCACCAGAAGCGGGTTAAAATCGTGTGTTTTGTTAAATTTGGTGCGGGCCATGTCCTGTAGACGCACCGCGTCGGCGGCTGACCGCGACTCGTGGTTGGTGTGGTACCTACGTACAAATAACAGTGTTATACACATACAACAGCCGCCCATTTCAATTGGATGGAACGAGTTTGCACTTGTTGCTAATGACGCTGAACGGTCGCCCCAAGTGCTGACTGTCGACCATCTTCTTGCCGAGGCTGTCGGGGGGCGCCACGTGGACGGGGGGGACGTCTAGCTGCCGGTGGTTGACGATGTTGTAAGGCGCGCGGGTATTGGGGGGGCGAAGGGCCGACTCCACCGGCTCCACCTCGGCCGAGTGGTGGTTGATCAGGTTGAACTTTTGCACATACCGGCTTTGTTTCACCTGAATTTCGAATGTGACTTTACTCTTGTATTTTGCCGTGACTGACCTTGGCATCGACCAACGCTTGCATTTGGTCTTTGATTTCCTTGTCCTTTGTAGCGGATTCCTAGGCCAAAACAATAGATTGTTAAGATTTAAACACGAAAAAATGGATGCAAATATATGGGTGTGTACACCCACCCGCTGGACATCCCGGTACTGCGCTCGAACCAAGTCGTATTCTCGCTCTTCCCGTGACTTTTCATACCGAGTGATGTGTCGCACAGGCTGTTGCTGCTCTGGTCGCCACGGTATAACTGTCTTGGATGCCTGAAGGAGGGGATTCAATGTTTCAATGAGAACCGACTTGTAGATAGTTCCGTGTGGTTCCAACTCCCCACTATGAGGACGAATGACGTACTATACCTTGTAAATCTGTAGGTCTTCTCCCCACGAAAGGCCTCTCGGAAGGAGATGAACTGGCGTCGTCATATAGCCACGACCACCGCGGCAACAACAACCAGGCGGGTGGGTGCTATTAATATTACTTGATTTGAGAAACGACCACCTCTGTTTGATTGGTGGAAAGCGTAACGACTACGACTCTGATTGGTGGATGATAATCACTGAACAGACATGTCGATGAAACATGACCTTGCTACGTCCCACCAAAATGCCAAGAGTAGAAAAGTTTTTATACGCTCCTACTGGTAACGTTAGCTTATAAACTACGACTACACTTGTAGTACGTAGCAATACTCGCACACTATTAATGATATTTGCACAGTACTTTCTGTATGTACTACAGTACTAGTACTCTGATCCATATCTTTTGCAGCATTTCATATTATTTTACTTTTTAACTTATTGTTTGTATGTAACTGCAGTTTTAATACACACTTGTAGTTTGTATACCTTTTATAGAAATAGTATAATAAAATAGGTGCTAAATATTCAGGATGAAAAACCGGCAACTAGGTTGCCTTGTCGACACCTTTACTGGACGAGTTAACACATTCAAGCTATGCCAACTCTGTGGCGACATTACTAGAGGTCATGCTGATCTCTGGTATCATGGGAAGCTATTGTGCTTTCGAGTGAAATTTCATTGTGTTGTGGTTTCTCGTTGGAATTTAAATCGATTTGATTGGCTACCTCAGAGGTGCAATCGAATCGCGCCGACCAAACCGATCCACAATCGATCTGATTGGTTGAATTTCATTGAGAAGGCTTTGATTGGCTAATAATTTTGAGCTCTCCCCAAATTTGTATCAAATCGACAATACTGATTGGCACTTCATATGCGCAAATGCTCAAAATATATAGCCCCACTCGAATCACAAACTTGGAGCGACCTCACGAGCACATTTGGATGGCTCGATGAGCTGCGACTGGATGGGGAGAGGTAAAGTCATCACACGAGCATACTGTCTTAAGCTTACAAAAAAATACAATCCCTATCGACCGTAAGTTTTTCTGGTTTGAGGTCATAAAGTTTAGGGGTGGGTCATAACTACTTGGATCAAATCAAAGCTGGAATGTATGTATCTATCGACTGAGCCAATCCGATTGCGATTACGAGGAGAAATGAAACATTTAATCCAATCAAAAGTCAAGTAGCAGTGCACACAATTGGTTGCCACTACAGTAGCTACGTTCCGAAACCCGCAACGAGCGGTATTGATTGCACACTGTGTGTGTTTGCCACCAACTAGTCTTTGTCTACTATTCCATTAGTTGGTTGGTGGTGCCGTGGACTTGCGGTAGTACTCGTTAAAGTCGAGGCGAAACGTCAGGAACGGCAAGTTGTCGGACCCGAGCGCTTGCTGCTTGAGCAGATCCAGAAACGATACCATTTGCGTCTGGAAGTCGGTCGCGATTGTGTGCATCTGCCGGACGAGGGCACCCGTGGCGTCCAGCGCCGACGTCGGCCGCTCTTCCGTGCCCGTCCACGCCACCTACATCATAACGTGATTCAACCAACTAATCAAGTAGTACTACTACCCACCTTGCCCAAGCGTTCGTGGCGGTTAACTAGCTGGCCTTCGCGCACCGCCGTCGTGTAAATCGCCTCTTGGACCTTGGAAAACGTCAAAATCGTGTCGAAAATGCCCTTGAGTGCCCGCAGCAGCTCTTGGTTGGCATCCAAAATGAACGCCTAACACCACACAGATCAACTAACCACTCGCCTCAACAACATATAGTACATACAATTCTCCACTACATCCCCTACTACTAGTAATACTACTACTACTTCAACTACTAGTCTAGTGTATCGATCGTGTATTACTCAGGCCAGTACTAGTCCCCGCAAAACGAGTACGAGTCATACAGCATAGTATCGATCGTGCACAGACAAGCCTCCTAGTACAAGGTCGAATACAACTACTAGTACTAGTACTACTAGTAGTAGTAGACGTACGTTGGCCTTGATACGCTCCAAGTAGCCAGAGTGGGCATCGATGAGTGCATCCAAATGAGTGGCGTTGGTCACGTCCTTAACAAGCGAGTGCCACGACCCGTCGAGCACTTCAAACATGATGTAGTTGTGCAAATTGGTCGTAAAGTGGATCATCTGGGACCGCACCAAGTTGCCGCGATGCATGATGGCTACTGCATGTGGCAGTTTGTTCTACAAATATATCATAATATATATATATATATAAATAGTCGTACGCTGATCAAATGCACGAGGTTCATGTCCCGGCCCCAGCAAGTGCTGAGCGAGTACTCGACCCGCTTGACTTTAAACAGAAACGAAAACATCTGGAGGTACTCGGCCATGGCGGCGTCCGGGATGACCGTGTTCAACGGCGCTTGGAGCTTGTAGTGCAATGCAAACACATCCCAACCTTCTTCGCCTAAACAACCGAAGAACAAGTATTGCAGAGGTATCACAAATATACTATATATATATATATCGATTTGGGTGTATTTTAGTGCATACAAAGCCAACGAGATCACGGGATATATATATATATATATATATATCGATTTTGGATGTATTTTAGTGAACATAAAGCCAACGACAACACGGGATACGCGTTTTGTTTCTTTTCCATGAGTCGTCGTCATTCGTAGGCTCACGTGATACCAATATCAACATACAGTGCCAACGCCAGAATACTATCGCCATATATAATATACAATACTAGAACTCGATATTTCAATATATCATGACCACACACTCACACCTTCAAATATATATATATATATAGAATACTAGTAATAAATAAATCCATTCCACTCACGTGGATTTTACTTTGAATTGATAGCATACCTGACGTCGCTTGGTGCAATTTCACGTCCAAGCGGCTTAAAATATCGTTCGACTAGTCAAATACATATATATTGAGTCGTACGGAATCGGGCAATACTCTTCCAAGTCAGGAAATTGGGGAAAAACAATAAAAATAATATTGTGCTTTCGAGTGAAATTTCATTGTGTTGTGGTTTCTCGTTGGATAAATCGATTTGATTGGCTACCTCCGATGAGCTCAAAATTATTAGCCAATCAAAACCTTCTCAATGAAATTCAACATCCAATCAGATCGATTGTGGATCGGTTTGGTCGGCGCGATTCGATTGCAAACCCCTCCCCAAATTGTGTATCAAATCGACAATATATATATATATACTTCGAATTTCGCATTGGATGCGTTCAGCGCCGTCTCGAGCACACTCATGAGGTTGTGGCGGTAGATTTGGGTCGCTCGTTTGGATAGTTCTGGCTGGAGCAGATCCATGAGGTATTGGATAAAGTCTCCCTACGATATACGATATGTTATTTCTACAATCCATCAATAAAATACATGGAGATACTACTATAGGTCCATACTTGGCCCAGGAGCAAATACTGCTTCAACGCGCGGCAATGCTCGAGCAACTGGTACTTTCCAAGCAAGATCTTGGTCACGTAATTGTTGGTTTCGTTTGCTGCGGCCGCAATCCACTGCTGAAACTCAGTCCTACCACAAACATAAATAAATAATGTGTCGAGTTTACCAGTAGGTAGAGGGTGTATATATATATAATATATATATATATATATTATTATAGTCCTTTGCGCTGGTGAAATATGGATTCGAGTTTTGAGTCCGATTTCAAGCTAGTGTATTCAATGGATCGTGTGGTATACATACAAATGGCAAGATGAATAAATAAATAAAAAAGTACATTGTGTACGAATAAGGAATTATTATTGGTTCCTGTTTCAAAGTCCCTGTTTGTGCATTTTCAAACGATTTTGTGTTCGATGATTGGAGGATACCATTGCTCCTTTTCATTTGATTGGCTAGGCCATGCTCACGAATACATGTGTCAACCACCAATCAAATACATAATCGAAACAATGCACTCTATACTGTTTGAAAATCCAAAGGAAAAATATAAAAAATAAAAATATTTTAAATTTAACAGATTACCATACCAGTGGTCAAACGTCAAGTTGGTCGCGTGCAATTGCGTGTCCAGCACCCACTACATGTTAACACCGCTTGAACTCAATTGGGCCAAGTGACGACAAACCTCCGAGTCGCCACAGCACGTTCGGATGAAATTGATGCTCTTGCCCATCACAAAGATCGTGTGTGCGACGTCTCTACGCCAGCAAAGATTCAAATATATATATATATATACCAAACCTTTCGATTGTACATATATATATATAGATTGGCCCACCGTGGGATGAATTGAGGCAACATGGCCCATCGCAACGAATACTTTTGGCTCCACAGCATGTCGTCGCCAACGCTGGCGTCGCACGCGACAAAGAATTCTTCCTAAAAATAAATAAAAAATATTCATACATGCGTGTTTACACATAAATATATATGACAAGGGTTTTAGCTTAGCTTGTCAGACACAGAGAGAGAGCGCGTGTGTACTACGTACATATGGATCTTGAAGTAACCCTTCGAGCGTCCACTGCTGGATCATCGTGAGCACGGGCGTGGCCACTTGGTTGAGAATCGTCTGAATGAACTGTCGGACAAACGGGTCGCCGTGCTCCATGTACATGTAAATACCCGACGCCAGCGCGCCGCCCGTGAGGCCGTCCACACTGACAAAAGCATGAAAAGAATCAATGGAAATCGACGACAGTTGGTTTGGTTTTTTAAAGCAAGGCACGCTAGAACGTCACGATATATATATATATACTCGAAACCATGGCATAGTCTGAAAGAATCTTGTCAAACGAATTGAATCATGTGGTGATCTAACATGGTATGGCAATATATTGTGATATTTCGCTATAAACGTCCAACATTCGCGTGGTTTGTCTACTCAAAATGGAATCCCTTGCTGGAAGCTTTTGATTGGTTGAATATACAATTGTCTCGTTTCTGTAACAGCCAATCAAATAATCCACTCCAAAATGGATTAGCCAATCCTAGCGTCGATGATTCGTGATGATTCGACAGAGTCTGGAAATTCATAGTATCGAATCATCCATAAGACTACTAGAACATATAATATGTACGACGGGTCGTACAAACATATCGTAGCAGGTATTGTCAAGTCGATATAGTCGAAGTTGGAGAGTTTGGGGTGGTGGTGGTCTCAATCGAAGAATGACCAGCAGCAGCACCAAATCGGAAGACAATCGATGATATATATCGTCCAATCAAAACCCACAACTCGAATCAAGTAGCCAATCAAATGATCATCCACTCACATTCGACCATTTCAACAACATTGAATTAGTATGTGACTGGAATTAGTGTGGCTAGGGACAATCTTTACAATGTAGCACAAAAGTCCGCCAAATGTTTTGGGTGTATTCTTCTTACCTGTCGACGAGCGCGGCCATGACACGGAGGCGGTCGAGCGGGTCCTGCGTCCACACGATGAGGCGCTTGAGTGTGAGCTCTGGCATGGCGTCGGGGAGTGGAAACTTGGCGGCGTCCACGTCCACCTGGGCACTGAGGACCGCGAGGAGGCGGTAAAAATCCGACAGTTCCGCTTTGAGCGCATGGTGGAAGCTCTGGGTCACGACGCCGCCGTCCATGGACCGACCGAGGAACTGCTGGACGCGGTTGAACAGCCACCCCACTTCGGTGAGCTTTCGAATCAAATCGCGCATGGCTATGTACGTAAAATGGATATGAAGAGAGAACATGGAGGGGATCATATTGGTGTATGCAGGAAGGAACCAAGTAGAGGAAATCGCGTGGGACTGAAATTAGTGTGTGGGACTGAAATTAGTGTGTGGGATGAGAGAGCAACCAACCAACCTGGGACGTTGTTTTAACGTTATTCCATGAAGATTCAGTCCACACACGAAAAATCGATCGATGGATTTGGCAAATTCGCACAAAGGTCCAATATTTTGGGTATAAGGAGCATTATAGATTAGATATGTAAGCAAGATAGGAATCATCGGTATGGACGAGCATACGAAGCATACAAGGAATTGGTATGATAAAAAATCGACGAATTATAACATGGGGAAGACAGCATGTCGTGAGGGAAGGAAGTCATGTCAATTATATTTTACTTTCACATTGTTCAAATATATTTTGACCTTTCAAATATATTTTGACCTTTCAAATATATTTTGACCTTTCAAATATATTTTGACATTTCAAATATATTTTGACATTTCATCGTTTTATGAATTAATACGATCGAGAAAGGTGGACATGCTGCGATCATGAAACGACGAATGATAAAGACAGGAATAGACATTTGGAATGTGTGAACGAAAGGGGGAACCAAGGAATCGACATGGGAAGAATGATCATAACATTCGAACATGATGATGAGAGATGGGAGTCGGCGGTGGTGGTGGGATGCTCAACGTACGGAGGGACACGCCGACGTGGCGCGCGACTTCGAACCGATCGGTGGACGGGTTGAAGAACGTGTACTTGGAATCGATGCCTTGGAACGCATACAGCACTTCTTGGAGAAGGACGTTCTCGGGGATGTCCATGGCCGCGCCTGTGTCGTGCGTGCGCACCGCCGCGCGATACGTGTCTTGCTGCATGTGTTTGTCGTGCCAGGTGGTAGATATAGAAGGTTGTTGTGGCATGGAAGGATCTGCATGTGGCGAACGGGGAGGATGGGGATGCTGTGGGGACGAAGTGGGATCCTACGGGATGGTGGAGGCGTTAGGGAAAGTGCACGACTGATGTGCACAGTACGCACAGTCTTGATGGTTGGATGTCCGATCGCCGTCACGGGGAGCGGCGGCACGTACAACGTCGTGGTGTCCGTGTCCAAACTCAGTCGCAAGAGCAGCGTCAACAGCGCCGCTTTCCGGTGCAGCATCGCGTGCGTGATGAAGTCCTGGTTCAACGACTCAAAGCGCTGTACCGCCAGTTTCGAGTCGTATCCGATCGACGATTCCTTGAGATGACGAAGGATCTTCTGGGTCACGCCCAACTAACAAGTCAAATGTGAGACACACACGCGATGAGGTACTAGGGTGTGTGGGACGAAGATGGAGGAGGAGTGGACACACCATGTCGTTTGCTCGATGCTCCATTTCATGCGCATTCCCGTACCTGGACGAGAGAATGCGCAGAGACAGAGACATCAACGATGGGTTCGGACTTCCATGGACGCTCGTCACGAGCGACTCGACCAGCGCCGGAACGTCCATCTCAATGGGGCAATCAGTGACACAGTACTTTGGTGAATGGTCAAACACTATTTTCAAAACATTGTCAAATCGGCCAAAAAATACCCAAACTTTCCACACAAATACGACGAAAATAGTATCAATTCTACGAAATATACGTAATATTGTGGATTCGGTACAAAATTCCAGCCGCCGAATATCGAATCACGAATCGATGCTATTGGCTGATTCAAATTGGAGAGGATTTGATTGGCTCTTACAGAAAAGATATATTCAACAACCAATCAGAACTCCAGCGTAATTCAAAATATCGATTAGAAAATCCACATGAATTTTGGCAGTTTATAGCGAATTCACAATGAAAATCGTGTCAAAAATTCGACGAAATATAAAACTAAATCTATCACAGTAGACAGATACGTCAGTTCTATTTTATCCGCAACCTACGATAATTAGATGGATAAATGTACAAGTTTATAGGATGAAAATTCACTAGTTTTGAAACTTTAAAGCATCATTTTGGCAAGACTATAAACATTCGGGATTTTTTCAAAATAGCAAGTTGTAGAGTGGACCGACCCCTACATATATGTAATATATTAAACTCTTCTGGCTAACATTTTTGTAACAAAAGTTATGCTCAAAGGCATCGTCGAAGCTGTCGCGCACTGTCAAACGGCAGATCCAGTGCAATACATAGGTATTGAGAGTTCGAGTTTGCACCTTGAATTTAGCCGTTACAGGTTCAACTTCGACGTTGCACTGTAGTTATTAGAGGTTACAGGTTCAACATTGAAGTTGCACGTCTTCCGAATCAACACTCCAGAGTACTTTGTTATGAATAACTTTTAGATATAGCAATGTACATGTATGTAGAGAGAGTAGCTGCTACATAGTACCATGTCACTTGAGTCTGTACATAGTACGGTGCCAACGTGTTGGGGTTTCGTCAGACGTTTGGTCAGTTCAATGCGAGCCTGACGACTCATTATGTACTGTAGTACCTATCGCAAGTCACTCCTACTACTAGTACGACCTACAACGTCGTCTTGTTCTCAACATGTTAAGTGTGTGTGCACTGTGCACTTACCCAAGATGGTGCAACCACGTCGCGTCGCTCCCATTGAAGCGCATCACGTCGCCCCGCTGCAATACACCACTGCACTGTACTCTTGCTTTATTATCCACTACCCCTGCACTTGCTTTATTCTACCCTTCACTTGTCATCTCACCACATACCGTTGACGATGATGATGGGATGGAAAGCCGGGGTTTTGGTCTTGTCCATCTCGGTGGCGTTGTCCATGGCCAAAGTGTCGATGGGTGTCCACCGCGCGTTCGAAGTCGCATCCACTGCGGACGTCGTCGTCGAGTACGCGCGGCCCTCGTCCGTGCACACGTTAATGGCCGCCCTCCCCATCCACCTGGACCACCAAGACACCTCCTCGTCGTCCCCGTTGAACCAACGAGATAACGCCCGACGCACAGCCATGTACCAAACGCTGGTCGCTGAATCCACCAAAGCGCGCGCCGTGCTCGCCGCGCACTTTCCGTCGGCGCAATGCACCCATGTGTGGATCAAGACGTCGGCGTTTTGCAACGGGCTGACTGTGGACCAAGTCCACGGCATCGCCGCCTTGTCCAGCGTCCACAAGATCGACGTGCCGTTCACGGTGCGGTTGCACTCGACGTTGTCACGTGATGGACGGAAGGCGGTTCGTCCCGTTCAAAAGAAAGCCGCCGCCGATGCCAACATCTCGTCCGACGACCCCCCATCGTCGTCGTCGTCGAGGGTGGTCGAGTGGGGGGTGGCGACGATCGGGGCCCCGGACGTGTGGCATCACACGACCGGCGAAGGCATCGTCGTTGGTTCCATCGACACGGGCGCCAACGCCAACCACGAAGCAATTAAACACAACTTCCGACGGGTCAAAGGCTGGTTCAACCCGTACAACACCACCACCGACATCGGCGGCGATGATCTACCGATGGACTCGCACGGCCACGGTACACACACGATCGGGACCATGGTGGGGTCGCATGGCATCGGCGTGGCCCCGGGCGCTCAGTGGATCGCGTGCCTCGGGTTGAACGGCGACGTGGGCAGCCAGCTGGCATTGGTGCAGTGCGCGCAATTTGTAATGTGTCCGTCGCGACGAGACGGCTCGCACTCCGAGTGCAAACTTGGCGCGGACGTGGTCAACAACAGCTGGGGCGACGATGGCGGCGGCGCGTACAACGACTGGTTCCAAGACATCGTGGCCATCTGGCAGTATGTTGGGATCACGCCCGTGTTTTCCGCGGGCAACAGCGGCCCCAACTGCGCCACCACCGGCAACCCCGCCCGGTACGACAACGTGCTCGCGGTGGGCGCGGTCGGGTCGTACGCAAACGATCCGACCCAGCTGGCCTTCTTCAGTGCCAAGGGACCTGTGACCGCGGGGTACCCGTCCTCGTCTTCAAACGCGACGACGGCTGGCGGCTGGCGAGGCAAGCCGGACGTGGTCGCGCCAGGCTTCTTCACCGTGTCGGCCAACGCCCGCGATGACGCGGGGTACGTGGCACTCGCAGGAACGTCCATGGCGTCTCCCCATGTAGCGGGCGTGGTGGCGCTGCTGAAGAGCAAGCAACGAGATCTCACATACGCCGACATTTACCGCCTCATCACGTCCACGGCGGACCGCGCCGTCCTCCAGCCGGAACCCGCCACATGGACGTTCAAGAATGGATCGGTGCTTGGCCCTGGAGCGGTCAACTGCGGCGACGTGTTGGATTCAGCTTGGCCAAACAACCGATACGGGTATGGCCGGGTGAACGTAGCCGCCATGTTTCGCGAGGACGGGTCGTTGAAGTGCGCGGAAGGGGATGATGACGGTGATGCATCGCCGTCACCTCCACATGTAACCACGAGTCTTCTACCTCGACCACCAGCGACTACTAGTACTAGTACAACTCGCGCGTGCAGTGCCGCGGAAACGGACGTTGACTTTCTTGGTCATGACCTGTATGGAGTTAAAGCGACGAATGCCGCCGACTGCTGTGGGCTATGCATGGAACAGGAGGCTTGTGCGGGGTTCTCGCATCTTCACGGGGTGTGCTTCCTCAAGCAAGTCATGGGCGAACGCGTCGACAAGACTGGCGCTGTCTCCGGTCGGGTGGTGGTGGTGGGGTGATGATGACGATATGTGATATATACATGTGTGGTATACTCCTGTAATGCACGTTTGGATGTTCGTGTGCAAACAGTAAGGGTTGCCTACATACTGTGCCGAAGGGAAGGGTGGGGGTCGCCGTAAGTAGGATGGGCTGTGCTCGGTGAAAACACTCGCTAACGTTAGATCTACATTCCTTGTCTGTGATCCGCACAACACCGATTATGTACCAGCATACTCCTTTATACAGCGGTGACGATCAAACCATCAGCCATATATCAGCATGCATGCAGGTAGGTGGTCCTCGTCGTTATCAGTATAACTTGATGTTTGTATGACCCATAAAAAATAATATTATTATCCAATCAAAACGCAATATTTCTGGAAAATGATAGGGTTGAACAGGAGCATTACATGGTGCCTGACTGATGCACTAACTAGCCTTGCTTTGTAGGTACCTTATTCACAACTAACACAGTGATAACGAGAGGAGCTAATACAGTATACCAGAGGATTAGCCCGTGGTTGTTGCTCGCATCAACGACGAGCAAATCCATTTCTGCTAGTAAGGCAAGACAAGCATCCTAGAGTCCTGAACCATGCCAGGAGTTGAGCTAGCAAATTGACGTAGCCCTGTGATATTCCTTTGTATGCGTTATGTGTGTGCAATGTGACTTTGCGTGAAAGTTAAGAAGTAAACCATACAGCTATGTGTGGAGCTCAACGGCAAGTTATTCGTGTAAACGCTAGCAATTTCAGTCAGAGTGGCGGTGAATTCACACCTGAAAGTAGAGGTTTCAGCCACTGTGCGCGACTTATTCATAGTGCATGTAAAATCGCTACTTCTGTATCCATTGCAACCCCTACATCGTTTATAACCCCCCACCGCCAGTCCCCTCCACAACGGCTCAGCTTGTGGTTTTTCTTTGTGTTAAAGCACACAACCACCATTTACGATATTAAAACCATCATTCACGACATCATAACTAGCTCATAGTGTATGTAGATCGCCAGAATAGCGGCGACGGAACCCCTGCACATCCACAGCCTTTATGTACCCCCCCTTCCCCTCATAATATTCGACTTGTAGCATCCCCCCAGCCCAATTGTCTAGCACACTATGTGTGTCTGACAACTCATACTGTGCTCACTCATATCATTCTTGGCTCATAGTGACAAGCATTTATCGTCTGAATTCCAACATCCCACACATCACAGAGCACAAATTTCAACAACTGGCATTGCGCGAGATATTGTGTAGTGTAGATCAATTCTCTCAGGATTAGGCGCTATGGGAGGATGGAGTATGCACTTGACAGTGTTCTTTGTATATTCGAGTGAACGTTGAGAACAATAGAGAGTGTGCTACGCAATTTGGCTTGGGGATGCTACAAGTCGAATATTGTGAGAGGAAGGGGGGGGTACATAAGGGCTGTGGAGGTGCAGGGGTTGCAGTCGCTACTATTCTGCGCGATCTTCATACACTATGAGCTAGTCATGATGTCGTGAATGGTGGTTCTAACTTCGTAAATGGTGGTTGTGTACTTTCACACGTAGATAAGCCACAAACAGAATCGTTTTGGAGGGGACAGAAGGCCATGAGGGGATTTAAACGATGTAGGGGATGCAATCGACTCAGCTGTAGCGATTTACATGCACTATGAGCAAGTCGCCACATTGTGGCTGAAACCTTTACTTTCAGGTGTGGATTCACCGCTACTCTAACCCAAATAGCTAGCACTTGCTACCGGTAGTACATACATAACTACCGGTAGTCGTTGAACCCGTCAACTGGTTATTCACGCCAAATCACATTGCACACGCGTAAACACGCAAGAGAACATCAAACCATACGTCGCATTGTCATCTCAATGCGACTGGTTGCATGGTTGAGGACTCTGGTAGAACTCTTAGCCTTGGTTTACTCTGTAGTGGAGTTGCTCGTCGTTCACGCGAGCAACAACGACGGGCAAATTCACCAGCAGTATCATCTCCACTCGTTTTTACAATGCTAGTTGTTAGTTAAGGTACCTTCAAAGCATAGCAAATAGCCATGGAGAGGCAGCATGGCCCCTGCGCAAACTTCTCGTGAATTTTTGATTTCAAGGTATAATAGGTTTTGATTGGATACGTACATTTATTTTATAGCCAATCACAGTCTTCAAATAACTTCATTATGTAATTTGCGGACAAGAGCTGACTGAAAATGGACTTGGACGTACAGGGTGTCCTTGACGCCCAATGCATTCCGTTGCAGTCCAGTCGCAAACGAGGCATATCCTTTCTGCACCATACGGTATAACTATAAGTACAATATATCATGTATAAACAGCTCCAAATAAGTCCCAGTCACAATTGGAAGGGCACACAACTATGGGAGCTTGTAGAGTAGGCTGACTGTCACAAAAGCGCTGCTGCGGGAGGCTGGTGGCGTGAAGTACACTTACGCATGTTTACTTCGGGCCACCAGGCTCCCGCTGCAACGCCTTGTCCTACCCACGCGCTTGCTGCAGGACCCCAGCCATTCATCGTGTTACTTAGGGTATTTTGAGGATTCCTCAAACGAGGTGTTGTGCGACAATTGTCCGGATACTGTCCAAGAGGTACAGTAAGTTCAGTTTTTTTGAAGTATTAGGGTGTGTCTGGTATTTCAAATATAATATTCCATTTTGTCGCAAAATGGGATGAACCAAAATGACATTTTCAAAATGGAGGTAAAAGGTCCATTTTGTAATATGGGGTTTTGGACCTCTTCAACGAGTAAATCCCACGTGGAATTATTGGATTTGGGTTAAAACCCTTCAAGTAAGACATGTTTCAATTTTGATCAGATTTGTTGAATTCGACCCCAAAATGGCGTTTTGGGCCTGAATATTGCAATACTACCAGACGCACACAGTAGAGCATTTCCAACGGCGTTATTATTTCTAGATCACAGTCAATTCGAAGTTACGGATATAGAACAGAAATTCTTGCACTATCCGGAGGGTTTGTTGCTATTTCACGAGAAACTAGAAATTCTGTGGAAAGAAATTTCTAAAATGTCCGGATAGTGCCAAAATAGCAACCGTAAAAACGAAGTTTGACTTTAACCTATGCTTTACAGTTAGAATTTACCGTTGGAGATGCTCTTATTGTGCTTTTCATGTAGTTTGCCCGTTGTTTAACTGCGCTAAACCCAAGCTCTGCATCGTTTCAGCAGAATAAAACAACCCTAGCTTTATTTCACCCGCTAACTAATCGAGTTGCAGTACCAGTCCAACTTACGCAGTTCAACCACGAGTTCATTACGATGCATACCGTATTAGGCTGTGAAATGGGAGTACTACACATCGTGTAGTTGATGTGAGCCTTTGCTTTCCACGTACAGTACTGACGTTAGTACAGATCAAGTGTTGTAGGTATGGCATAGCTTTGAAGCATTGGACAAAGCGACGACTAGCCTAACTATATCCCTAACGTTATAAATTACTCGGAGTAGTTGATGTTTCTTGTGATCACGGATGGGAGGTCATGTATGTGGCCATCCATAGCTGCTTCAGTTCATTGCGGCAAGCACCTTAACGAGTTGAGGTAAAACAAGTTGCTTGCCAGAATGAAAATGGAAACAACTTGTTTTACGAAAATGCCTGGAAAACCACCTTCAACCAACCAATCATCGCATTAGATGAAGTAACTTTACAGGACTGTTAAACAACGCACCCAGCCGTTATTCAAGTTACTTTAGTCGTTATTTAAGCCTGAGAAAATTTAAAACAATTAATTTAACCCTGGAATTGCCAAAAAAAGTGCAAAGCACAATCAATACTTACAGTGAGTGTTTTGAAAAGTCACCCTAACCACTCTCACCACTTGACTTTATTATAGGCATTTTCGCCAAAAACATGCTCCTTACTCCGTATTGCACTGGATCTGCTGTTTGAAAAAATTAATGTTCGACGGACGCGACGTCTTGGTCAACGACGAATTACACTTATCTTTAAACAAGTAACTTTACAGTGCAATTTGTACATGTTAGCCTTTCAATCAATGCAACATATTCAAAGTTTAAAACACAAACAGCGACAACGGCACTCAAGGGCTTGATTTGACCTCCACCGCTTACGCTTGCTTAGTTACGGATGCCAGAAGTGACGCCTTCCTTGGCAGAAGGGTAGCCGAGTTCGCCCTTGAGGTAGCAATAACCTTGGTAGTGCGAGTAACCCTTGCAGTTGTCCGCCGTCAAGCACAACCCGCAGCAGTCGTCCTTGTTGCCAGAAATACGTGCGATGTCGTTGCCGTTGTAGTCCACGTTGGCTTGGGCAGCTTGGCACGAACCAACAGACTTGGTGACCTTGGCGGCCTTAGCGCCCCAGTAAGGAGCAGACTTGCCAGCCTGCCACTTCAAGAAGCACGTGCCTTCGTTCCAAGGGGTCCACACGTACAGAACGCATCCAGGGGTGTTGGCACAGTCGTCGCAGCAATCGTCGCTGTTGGAGCGTTGGGTAAACTTAATGTCATGGCCGTAGTAATCCACGCCATCCACAGGCTTTTCACACACACTAAGCTGAGGGACAGCATCGGTAGTGGTAGGCGCAGCCTCGGTAGTGATAGGGGTAGCCTCCGTGGAAATAGGGGTAGCCTCCTCGGTGGTGATAGGGGTAGCCTCGGTGGTGATAGGGGTAGCCTCGGTGGTGATAGGGGCAGCCTCCTCGGTGGTGATAGGGGTAGCCTCCGTGGTGACAGGCTTGAGGGTGTGGTTGGAAGGGCAAGGAGTGCTGACGTCCGGCACAGCCTCGGTGGTGATAGGGGTAGCTTCCTCTGTGGTGACAGGGGTAGCCTCGGTGGTAATAGGGGTAGCCTCCTCGGTGGTGATAGGGGTAGCCTCCTCGGTGGTGATAGGGGTAGCCTCCTCAGTGGTGACAGGGGTAGCTTCGGTGGTGATAGGGGTAGCCTCCTCAGTGGTGACAGGGGTAGCCTCCTCGGTGGTGATAGGGGTAGCCTCCTCGGTGGTGATAGGGGTAGCCTCCTCAGTGGTAACAGGGGTAGCCTCGGTTGTGATAGGAGTAGCCTCCTCGGTTGTGATAGGGGTAGCCTCCTCGGTGGTGATAGGGGTAGAATCCGTGGTGACAGGCTTGTGCGTAAGGTTGGAAGGGCAAGGAGTGCTGATGTCCGGCACAACCTCGGTGGTGTTAGGGGTAGCCTCCTCAGTGGTCACAGGGGTAGCCTCGGTGGTGATAGGGGTAGCCTCCTCAGTGGTGATAGGGGTAGCCTCCTCAGTGGTGACAGGGGTAGCTTCAGTGGTGATAGGGGTAGCTTCCTCAGTGGTGACAGGCTTGGGCGTGACGTTGGAAGGGCAAGGAGTGCTGATGTCCGGCACAGCCTCGGTGGTGATAGGGGTAGCCTCCTCAGTGGTGACAGGGGTAGCCTCCTCGGTGGTGATAGGAGTAGCCTCCTCAGTGGTAACAGGGGTAGCCTCGGTGGTGATAGGGGTAGCCTCCTCGGTGGTGATAGGGGTAGCCTCCTCAGTGGTAACAGGGGTAGCCTCGGTTGTGATAGGAGTAGCCTCCTCGGTTGTGATAGGGGTAGCCTCCTCGGTGGTGATAGGGGTAGAATCCGTGGTGACAGGCTTGTGCGTAAGGTTGGAAGGGCAAGGAGTGCTGATGTCCGGCACAACCTCGGTGGTGTTAGGGGTAGCCTCCTCAGTGGTCACAGGGGTAGCCTCGGTGGTGATAGGGGTAGCCTCCTCAGTGGTGATAGGGGTAGCCTCCTCAGTGGTGACAGGGGTAGCTTCAGTGGTGATAGGGGTAGCCTCCTCAGTGGTGACAGGCTTAGGCGTGACGTTGGAAGGGCAAGGAGTGCTGATGTCCGGCACAGCCTCGGTGGTGATAGGTGTAGCCTCCTCAGTGGTGACAGGGGTAGATTCGGTGGTGATAGGGGTAGCCTCCTCAGTGGTGATAGGGGTAGCCTCCTCAGTGGTGACAGGGGTAGCTTCAGTGGTGATAGGGGTAGCTTCCTCAGTGGTGACAGGCTTGGGCGTGACGTTGGAAGGGCAAGGAGTGCTGATGTCCGGCACAGCCTCGGTGGTGATAGGTGTAGCCTCCTCAGTGGTGACAGGGGTAGATTCGGTGGTGATAGGGGTAGCCTCCTCAGTGGTGATAGGGGTAGCCTCCTCAGTGGTGACAGGGGTAGCTTCAGTGGTGATAGGGGTAGCTTCCTCAGTGGTGACAGGCTTGGGCGTGACGTTGGAAGGGCAAGGAGTGCTGATGTCCGGCACAGCCTCGGTGGTGATAGGGGTTGCCTCCTCAGTGGTGATAGGGGTAGCCTCCTCGGTGGTGATAGGGGTAGCCTCCTCGGTGGCGACAGGGGTAGCCTCCTCGGTGGTGACAGGGGTAGCCTCGGTGGTGATAGGGGTAGCCTCCTCGGTGGTGATAGGGGTAGCCTCCGTGATGACTGGCTTGGGCGTGACGTTGGAAGGGCAAGGAGTGCTGATGTCCGGCACAGCCTCGGTGGTGATAGGGGTTGCCTCCTCAGTGGTGATAGGGGTAGCCTCCTCGGTGGTGATAGGGGTAGCCTCCTCGGTGGCGACAGGGGTAGCCTCCTCGGTGGTGACAGGGGTAGCCTCGGTGGTGATAGGGGTAGCCTCCTCGGTGGTGATAGGGGTAGCCTCCTC